CATCAGAGAGATGCAAATTAAAACAACAATGAGGTATCACCTCACACCTGTCAGAATGCCTGCCATCAACAAATCATCAAACAACAAGTGTTGGCAAAGGTGTGGAGAAAAGGAGACTCTAGTCCACTGCTGGTGGGAGTGCAGACTGGTGCAGCCACTATGGAAAACAATATGGTGTTACCTCAAAAAATTAAAAATTGAACTGTCATTTGACCCAGTGATCCCACTTCTAGGAATAGACCCTAAGAAGCCTGAAACACCAGTCAGAAAGAACATATGTACCCCCATGTTTGTAGCAGCACTATTTACAATAGCTAAGATCTGGAAACAATGCAAGTGTCCATCAGTAGACGAATGGGTAAAAAAGCAGTGGTACATATACACAATGGAGTACTACGCAGCTGTAAGAAAGAAAAAGATCTCTTATCCTTTGAGACTACATGGAGAGACCTGGAAAGTATCATCCTAAGTGAAACAAGCCAAACAGAGAAAGACAAGTATCATATGATCTCACTTATTTATGGAATATAATGAACCTAACAGTCTGAGGAATGGGGTAGTCCCAGAGACGTGGAAGTGGGGTACAGACTGACAATCCCCAGAAGAGGGGGTGGTGGGGGAGAGAGAAACCACAGAACTTATATGCATGAGCAATGGACATGGACAACAAAGCTGGGGACAGGGCAGGGAGGGAGGAGGAGGGGGGAATCAGTGGTGGAAAAAGGAGAAACATCTGTAAAAAAATTAATTAATAAAAAAAAAAAGAAAGAAAAAAAAAACTTGAAAACGTCTGGTTGTCATCAATCACGTAAAAAAGCTGCCTTATGCCACTTGCCCCAGCTACTGGCCTTCAGTGAGGATGGGGAGAATATGAAAATGGAAATCACCTGTTAGTCTGCCCCCTCAGTTGTTAGAAAGCAGAGCTCAAATAACAGGATTTTGTTTGTAGATTTTACTGATATGTGGAGACTCTTCCAAGCTCCCCGTGATCAGTGAATGTTACGGTTAATCCTTAAACTTTCCAACTAGAGAGGCCTTTCTCAGCCAATATACTAAGATACAAGCTTTAGGATTGCTTTCTAGGCCTAAGGTTCTTAACTTTTAAAATGGGCTAAATGGAGTTGTCTCCTCAGCTCTCTCCTCAGAGACACAAACGCCAGTCTTTCCTCACAGGCCCTAGTCCCTCCACCGGAGCCCAGGAAATGACTTTGAAACTCTTCCTGTGAAGTCAAATAGTAGACAAAAGTGTGGGGTTTAATTTATCAACACCATGAAAAGAGAGAGGAAAGAGGAAGAGCTCAGCAAATTTCTTACACATACTTCATGACTTGATTGTGGTTAAGTGTGAGGACTACATAGGACTCTTGGAGGCCTCCAGATCATTGCTGAAGCCTTCAGCTACTGTCTCAGGTTTCTGAAGTTTAGCAATGGAGTCTTTCTCTGATGAGACCAATTCAATTGACATACACTTAGAGCCCTGGAATGAACCCCAGATAATTCTGTCCGTGGTCATTCTCAGCCTCACTTTCTTATTGGGATTGCTTGGCAATGGGCTGGTGCTGTGGGTGGCTGGCCTAAAGATGAAGTGGACAGTGAACACACATTAGTTTCTTTATCTCATGCTGGCAGACTGCCTCTGCTGCCTCTCCTTACCCTTCTCCCTGGTTCACTTGGCGCTCCAAGGACACTGGCCTTATGATTGGTTCCTATGTAAACTCGTTCCCTCCATCATCATCCTCAACATGTTTGCCAGCATCTTCCTGCTGACTGCCATGAGCCTGTATTGCTGTCTTTTGGTACTCAAGCCAATCTGGTGCCAGAATCACTGCAATGTGAGGACAGCCTTCACTATCAGTGGTTGTATCTGAGTGATGACTTTTGTAATGTATAAACCTGTGTTCATATATCGAGAAACGTTCACTATAAACAACCAAAATATGTGAGGTTACAATTTTGATGCCAATAGCTCATTAGATTATTCAGACTTCATCTTTGATCAACTGGAAAATGAGTCTCTTGACAACCCCAATGTTCGGTTGCCTACAGAAATGAATGATAAGTTAGGTGCTTTCCCTTTACAAACAAATGATCCTTGGACAGCTACCACTCTCCTCCATTCTCAGACATTTCAAAGACCTCCTGGAGATTTACTCCCTGTGGATTCAGCCAGATTATCTAATTAACATCCATATTATAATTTAATTAAACCTGATGATGAGGCCTCTACAATCCCCATTGGCCTTCCCATTGAAGATTACAGAATTAATCCACTGAATGACTCTGATGCTTTCCTCTCTATGGATTTAGAGCTTTGCTCTAGTGGTGCCTCTGGCAATGCCTTCTACATGACTGAGCCATCACAAGATTTCCAGTATGATACTGAAGGCCTCTTTGAATATGATAATCAACTTTCAACACCCCTGGTGGTAATAACCATGACTAGGCTAGTGATGGGTTTCCTACTGCCCTTTATTGCCATGGTGACCTGTTATAGCCTCATTATCTTCCAGATGGGATGGGGCTGCTTCGCCAAGTCTTGGAGCAAAACCTTCCAAATGGCCGTGGTGATGGTGGTCATCTTCCTTGTCTGTTGGGCCCTATACCACATTGTTGGAGTCCTCTCTTTGTTTATTGACTCAGAGACTCCCTTTGGGGAAGTTCTGCTATCCTGGGACCACGTGTCCATTGCTTTAGCATCTGCCAATAGTTGCTTCATTCCCTTCCTCTATGCCTTGATGGGGAAAGATTTTAGGAAGGAAGCAAGGCAGTCTGTGCAGGGCATTCTGGAGCCAGCTTTCAGTGAGGATCACACACATTTTACCAGTTATACCCAAAGCAAAGTCTTTTTGAAAAGAAACAGTAGCAGTAGAGCTGTGTGAGAATATGGAGCATTTGACCCTAGCACATGATCCAAGCAGAGCTTCTTGGGTATTCACCAAGTGTGACATGTTTCTAAAAGGATGAGGGACATGGTGAGCAGGGATTTTAGAAAACATCAAAGACTCAATCTAGAGGTCTTCAAAGTGTGGTCCCAGACTAGTGACATCAGCATCACATGGAAACTCTCCAGTCCATTGCCAGACTTGAAAACAAACTCTTGTTTCTGATTAATGCTACATTTGAGGGACAATGCACAAACTAGTCTATTTCTATCCCAAACTAAGCCCCCTGAGATAAATGAGAATCTGTTGTAAAATGATGTTTCTTTCCATCCTTAAGTTTTCTATTTAGTATATCTAAATTCCCTTCCTGATTCATTTTTAAACCAATTCTTCTAGCTCCGCGTGAAAGATTATCATTTATTCTATGGCTTTATCGTTGTACTGCTGGTGGTGGTGGGGATGGTTTTAAATAAGGAGAAGGTACAGGTAGGGGGCAGCAAAGGGTAAAGGAGGCCAAATATGGTGACACAAGATGATTTGATTTTGGGAGGTAGGCACACAAGGCAATATACAACCCATTTATCATAGAAATGTACACTTGAAACCTATATGAGCTTATTAAACAATGTCACCCCAATAAATTTAATGAAATAAATTTTAAAAGAAGGTGCAAGAAGAAATCGTCTATAAAAATAAGGATTTATAGACTGAGTCTGGAGCAGAATACAATGCCAGATGCTTCCTATTAGAAATACTCATGGATACAGGACACAATTCCAAGTTTCCATTATTGCAATTAAATAAGCATCTCGTGTAAACACAGACTACTACGGCATCTAACAACTTATTCATGATCTGGAATGTAAGCTGCCCTTTGAGTAGTGCTCTTGTTTTTGTTTTCTCTTTCTGCCTATTGATAGAGTTATCTGCCTCCTACTCCTTGTCTTAAATTCCTTAATTCCCTTATTCCTCCCCTGCCTCTAAGTCTTCTTTCACATTAGACTAATCTCTAATTTCAAAAGTTTAGAATCATCGAAAAATGACTGAGTGCCCTCCAGAAATACCATCAAACTTATTAAAACATGGCTAGAGGTGTGTATCTTTCATGTTATAATTACCAGATGGATCTTTAGGTTTTTTCATTAAACTTTATCAAAGTAATACATACACATAGTTTAAAGAGATTCAAGGTTTATAATGAAATATGAGACGCTTCCTCCCACACTCTGCCCAACCACTCCCTCTTCCTACTCCCATTTCCCAGAGATAACCCTTGTAACAATTTTAGATGTTTCTTCTAATATTTGCCAATTTCCAAGTCATGGGCTTATGTGGATTATTTTTGTAGACATGATAAAATGACTTCTTGTTTTGCAAGATGAGGAATTTCATCCAAGCATATTCATATTTTTGTTTACCCAAAGTCCCAATATTCATTAACCATACTTTAATTCATTCATGACCACACATTTTCTTCCACTTTCTCTGTCCATTCCAGTCACATATATAGCTTTTCTTCTATCTTTCTTTCATTTTATGAAACCATTGTTCAATTCCCTACCACCTTCTCCTTTTCTCTGTATACAAACCTATATGTGTTAAACGTCTAAAATTTCAGGTTTGTGCTTCAACATAGCTTCATCTAAGCCGAATAAAACTATTTAATCTAAAGACAGAAAACGAGAAGTTTTAGACTTGCAACGATTGAGGTGAGGGTCTGGACTACAAATTTGCTACATATGCTACACAGGCAATTTCAAATAACTAAGAATTCTTACACTTGTGAGGTAGTGTCTGACATGATGTGCATTTGCAATGTTAATTTTTATTTTAATCTGCTTATATATTTGATAGGAATAAATGCTTGCTTTCTCGTGGTTCCTTGTAATAATAATAATGATAATAATAATGATAATAGAAGTAAATAAATAAATAAATAAATAAATAAATAAATAAATAAATAAATAAATAAATAGATAGATAGATAGATAGATAGATAGATAAATAGATTTTAAAAATGGGCTAAATGCGACCGATTCCGGAGGCCGGTGCTTTCCTCCGAGGCTCGTGCGTTCCTGAGCCCCGGCCCGCCCTCGGCTCTGCGCGCTCCGGGGACGCCAGGGAGCGCGAGAGCTCACGGCTCCAGCTGGACCCCACATCACCAGGAAGGAAGGGGCGGAGTCGCGGCGGCGGGAAACTGGCACTTGGAGGAAGTCTGGCCGTCTTGCCCACCTTTGTCCCGGTGTCTGCAGCTGCTCTAGCGCCATGCCCGCCGCCGGCTCCGAGCTGCCGCTGCCCCCGTCGCCGCCCGCCGCGCAGAAGCAGGGCGCGGAGCCGCGGCCCCACGGGGAGCTGCAGTACCTGGGGCAGATCGAGCACATCCTGCGATTTGGCTCCCTGAAGGGTGACCGCACCGGCACTGGCACCCTGTCTGTGTTCGGCATGCAGGCGCGCTACAGCCTGAGAGGTGACAGCGGTCGCGCCGGGGCGGGCGGGCGGGCGGGCGCCAGGGGGGCTTGGGGCTGCCGCTGGGAAGGCGCTCGGGGGAGGCCGGACCTCGCGGTCAGCGTTTAGTCTCAACCTCGGTCCCGTGAGACGGCAGAAGGAAGCATCCTTGGCCTCGCTTGTCACTCCGAAACTGAGGCTTGGATTAGAGGGCCGATGTGCGTAGGGTCCACGGACGGGGGTGACAGAGCTGGGAAGTAAAACCACTCAGACCCTCTGGCTCCAAGGGCTGTGCTCTGAACACCTCGTTATGTGGTCCCCCCAAAGCAAGCACGACCCAGTAGTGTTTGCCCCGAAGCAGAATGGCAGAGGCTTCACCTGGTCTAGACCAACGGCCCGGCTCGGTTTCCCCGCCACCGCCCCGCCCCTCCCGGTGCTGGCCATTCCGCTTCGCAAACTTTTCAAAATTGGAGCCAATTTTTGTGGGCGGTGCTACGACGGCGGGAAGAGCCAATGAACTGAGAGGCAGGGCGGAAACTTGTGGCTCCTTACAATTTTTCCAACCAGTCCCACGAACCAGCTTTCTTTCCTCTTAATCCTTGAAACAGGAACTCGATGGTCCGAGTAGTTTTTATTCTCTTTTACTTTAAAAGAGGATGGCCCCTTGCCCAGCCTGGGGGGCGCAGTGGTTGAGCGTGGACCCATGCACAAAGAGGTCACCGGTTGGATTCCCCGTCAGGGCACGATCCCGGGGTGGACGGGGGTGGGGGGGTGGGGGTCGTGCAGGAGGCGGCCAGTCAATGTTCTCTCTCCTCGATGTCTCTATCTCTCTCTCCCTCTTCCTTCTTCTCTCTCTTAAAATCAATAAAGCAAAAATTATTAAAAAACAAAACAGGATGGCTCCTGGGGGAAAAATCTTTCTTGGGGGGGGGGGTTGCTAGGGCTCAGCTTTCAGGAGACAAATGGGCATGGTGTGGGTGGGCACAGGACATACATCCTTGACACTGGTGTGGAGGGTGATTTTGAAGGGAAGACCCACTGTTGGTAAAGCAGATTTGCTGTAGTCAGGTGTGAAACTGCACTCAACACCCATTCTGCAAACTGGAAAATAACTGGCTGCAGTGGAAAATATCTGATCTGCCTTGGACAGCTTTGGTTTTGTTGAGCAGAGGGATCCACCTTCCTGCAGCACCAAGAGCAATGGCCTCCAGTGAGCCACAGATCTAGTTTTTACTCCAGCTCCTCTTCTGACACCTTGGGCAAGTTACTTAACCTCTCTGGTCTTCAGCTTCCCCATGTACTTGAAATAGAGGGGGAAATGTCCAAGTAATAGTAATAACAGTAGGTGCTTGAAAAATTTATCCTTGTTACATGAATATCAACTATACAACTGAATGGAGATGACCTTTTACATTTTTATTTTTCTATTTCTTAACGCAAACTTCTGTATCCCTTCTGGTGCGTGTAACATGGAGATTATAAAGGTGCCTTAAAGAAGGTTGTTTTGAAGATTAAATAGGATCATGTATATAAAGTGTTTAAACAGTTACTATTTTGGGAACACTTAAAACATAGAGGTTAATTTGTTTTGCAGATTTTTAAAAATGATTCTTCAGTTTTGGCCAGTGTGATATCTACTCTCCCTGGGTCCTGAGCAAGCTTTCCTTGGCAGGATAATAGTGGAATAGCCCTGGGAGCCTTCAGGCTTTGTCCTGTTGTCTTCACACCTCTGCAAAGGAGTCTCACTAATTACAGTGGATGGTTGCTCTTTCCCTGTCTCCACTGGCCTCTGTCCCATCTTACTGTGTGGAACTCCTGTGTCTGGTGAATGTGGGCCTCAGGAGGGTGGTCTCAGTCTGAATTGTGTCACTGACTTGCACTGCAGCCTGGGAACTCCACCCTGATTCCGGGCACCCACTTGCCAAGAGTCATAATTTTCCAGATCACTCCAGGGCCTGATCTCCTGGGGCAGTTTTCTTCCACAGAGAACATTGGATGGCATGTGCTATTTTCCCATCTTTTTTTTTTGTTTCCCAATTTTTATTAATTTATTTTTGTTACAGATGTTTATTTTCCCATCTTGAAATTATATGGCAAACTGTTTTTCAGATGAATTTCCTCTGCTGACAACCAAACGTGTATTCTGGAAGGGTGTTTTGGAGGAGTTGCTGTGGTTTATCAAGGTAAAGAAGGGAAGTTAGAGGACAGGCACAGAGCCCAGGTTGTGTGGCACCATAGCCTTGCTTGTAACCATTGTGGCACATCATACCTGAAGATGCCAGAGGCCAGTGGAGGTCTATCCTTGACCTGGACACACATCAGGATACAGGTTAGGCTGATAAGGGCCAGATCTAATAAGACAAAATATAAGAGAAATAAACAAAAGGCTTGTACTTGACAAAAACAAAAACCAACAACACCTTAACTGTGCAAGCAAAGGTTGGGTTATACATAACTGGATAGAAGCACATACAAGATATGTGACAGATCTATTTACTAGAAAAGCTAGTGCTCATTAGGCCAATCAGTAGAAACATTCTATATACCAGATAGAAGGTACTCCCAAAAGATTGCATGTGAGACATTAAGTTCGTTCTTCATATCACACTTAGAGACAACATATTTGGTGAAGAAACAAAACTGCTAGATGGGGTGGGAATAATTAAAGGACTTGGAGGTGTTCCATCTAGAAAATTTAGCTGAGGGAACAGGAAAAAATATTTGAGAGGGTGATTCCAGAGAGGGAACCAGACTGACCTGGAGGCACTTCAAAGTTGGGATGGGACCAGCCTGCTTAACGATAGGACAGGCTATGCGGGGACATGGTGAGTGCCTATCACCCACTTGGTGGGGGCTCTTAGAGGATGAACCCCAATGACTCCAAACGCTCGTGGGTAAGTGAATTCACCAGCTCTGCTCTCCCATCTCTTCCAGGGATCCACAAATGCTAAAGAACTGTCTTCCAAGGGAGTGAAAATCTGGGACGCCAATGGGTCCCGTGACTTCCTGGACAGCCTGGGATTCTCCAGCAGAAAAGAAGGAGATTTAGGCCCAGTTTATGGCTTTCAATGGAGGCATTTTGGGGCAGAATACAAAGATATGGATTCAGGTGAGGAGACAGGGCTGCCTCAGATTCCTGAGCACCCGTCATAGCTCCATGGTTTCAAGTGAAGTGTTAGGGATAAGAAGCCGGTGTCTGGGGAGCTCATGCGTAAGTTTAACCCTGTGAGAGGCGATATCGGGTTCAGGAGCTGCAACTACACCTCATGGAGGTCAGACAATTTATTGCCAAACTATTTATGTAATAAATGGTCTGTTGGTTGTTATTATGCAACCTCTGTCCTAGGACATTCTCAGGATGTGAAGCTACTTCCCTACCTTAATTGTGCCTTAAATCCTGCCTAGTGTTCAATTATTTATTCTCACTTAAGGGGCCTAATAAAATCATGTCTTTAGTTTAAAGTTGTATGAATGCTCAGCTGTTAGACTTCAATATGTCTGTTTGTCCTTTTTGTGTATTTTAAAATTTTAATCTTTAAATAATTATAGGTTCAAGTACAGGGAGGTCCCTGCACCTTCCCCAGTTTTCCCCAAAGGCAATATCTTGTATAAATTGACCTTGGCAAAATCCACAGAGCTTATCAGATTTCTCCAGTTTTACATGTATTAGAATATGTGTGTACAATTTTAGTGCATGTGTAGATGTATGTAACCACCACCACAATCAAGGTACAGAACTGTTCCATCACAGTTCATCTTTTCAAAAATCTTTGATGCTACTTTTTTGGAGCTGATCGTGACAAGGCTTTCCTCAAAAAAAAAAAAAATTAAGAACTATTGGACTAAAACATAGTGTGACACCCATAAGTGGAAGTTTAACCAGAGGAGAATGTGAAATTCTGTACACCTCAGCTTCCAGTTCCATTTCAGAAGGAAAGCAAGGAATTAAAGTCCAGACACCAGAAGTAGGAGAAAAGTACAAAGTGGTATAATAATTATAGAGATTCCCTGATATTTACAGATGAGTAGTAGACATTTACCTGCTAAGTTGTAATTTTAGTGGAAGTGTTAAAAGGTTATTGTCAAGGTCATAGAAAGGAATTCACAGACCTCTGTTAGTCATTAACGTATATGGAATTGTATATTCTGTTTAAGACCTCGTAGTTTCTGTGGGACGTGGATAAACTAGACCATGCCAGTGGAAGGTGACAAGAATGGTTGATGGGTATAGAGGCTAAGTCCTTTGGAGAACACTGGAAGAAACAGTGTTGAAATTGGGGTGATGGAGGACGTGACCTCATGACCAACCAAATATTTAAAGGACTTTTACGAAGAAAAGAAAATAGGCTTTGTTATGGCTCCAGAGGACAGACCTAGGAGCCTAAACCAGCTCTTGACCTCAACATAACCCAGTGAGATCTGAGAAATGTATAGAGTGCATTGGACATCTGGTGACCATGAGCCAAGGAGGGGGCTGTGGAAGGACAGTATGATAGGTATCTGTAAGGCCATCTCATGAGATGTTGTGATTAACATGCACATCTTCTCCTTTTGACAATTCTACAGATTATTCAGGTCAAGGAGTAGACCAACTGCAAAAAGTGATTGACACGATTAAAACCAACCCTGACGACAGAAGAATTATCCTGTGTGCTTGGAATCCAAAAGGTTGAAACCCTATCGGTCATCCTGTCATATCCTAACTGTATAATTAGCATAAAGGGAATCAACGTGGCCTTGTGCAGGGGCCTCGAGCAGGAGGCAGGCCCTGTGAACTGCCCCTGCCACCACATGATAACTTGGGTGACCTTGGACGAGTCACACTTGGCCCCATTTTCACCTTCAGAGGATGGAATTGAACCCAGATCACCTTAATTTATATATTTATACTTATTCTTACTCCAAAAAGGATTTTAAATTACCTGTGAAAATACTTGTAAGATTTTAACACTTTTAAAAAGATTTAACATGTTGATACATGTGAAACACTTTAAGTATATTTTTTTAATTGAGTTTTAGAGAGAGAAACAGTGAGAACCATTGATCAGCTGCCTCCTGTACACCCCTTACTGGGGATTGAGCTCACAGCCCTAGCATGTGCCCTGACTGGGACCTCTTGGTGCATGGGTGGATGTTTAACTACTGAGCCACACTGGCCAGGCAGATTTTAACATTTTTATTTTTGTGGGTTTTTTAATCCTCACCCGAGGACATTTTTGCATTTATCTCCAGACAGAGCGGGAGGGAGAGAGGGAGGGAGAGAGAGAGAGAGAGAGAAACACTGATGTGAGAGACACATCGAGTGGTCACTACCCACACGACCCCAATCGGGGCTGGAGACAAACTGCAACCAAGGTACAAGCCCTTAGTGGGAACTGAACCCAGGACTCTGGTCTGCGGGCTGACGATCTAACCACTGAGCCAAACCATCCAGGGCTAGATTTTAACATTTTTAAATTGGGGCAATGAGGTTTCAGATCCCTTCCCACCTTGATATTAACATTTTTATCAATGGGGTTAAAAAATTAAACTTTACCAATAATAAAGACCCAGAGTGGAACATTTACATTTATAATAGAGACCTGGCATACAGGAGGGTGTGCCTGAGATGCTAGTTTCCTGTGACCCCTGCAAATGAACTCATTCTTCCTGTAAAGGTAGCATAAATTGTTAATATTAGCTCAGATGGGAGAGCATTGCCTTAGTTGTAAACGTTCATCATGGTCTCTGTTGGGTTTGTGCTGGGATTGGAATGGTCTGCTTTTGCCACGAGGGGACGTGTGAGTCATGGGGGTCACTGTGGCCCAGTGGTTCTTTCTCATGACCTCCATCTCATGAATTAGCTTGTGTTTTGCTCCTGTTTTACTTTGCCTATAGTTGTGTTCTTTAAAACCACCACCCCCTCCTTATTTTTCTCTGTGGTGTGTCCTCAGATCTTCCATGCATGGCCCTACCTCCATGCCATGCCTTTTGCCAGTTCTACGTGGTGAACGGTGAGCTGTCCTGCCAGCTGTACCAGAGGTCAGCAGACATGGGACTAGGTGTGCCCTTCAACATCGCCAGCTACTCCCTGCTCATCTACATGATCGCACACATCACTGGCCTAAAGGTAGGCTGCTCTTGGGAAGGAACATTGTTGCTAGCTTAGAACTGAACTCTTAGATTCTTTCACATGAAAAAAACTAATTGCACAGAATTCTCATTCATTTTAAATAAGATATGAACTGACTCAAATGTGAACTTAGAAATATTTTAAGCCCTGGCTAATTTGACTCAGCGGTTAGAGCGTCGACCTGTGGTCTAGAGAGACACGGGTTGGATTCTCACTAAGGGCACGTACCTCAGTTGCAGGTTGTCCCTGGCCCTGGTTGGGTCGTGCGGGAGGCAGCCACTCAATGTGTCCCTTTCACGTCAATGTTTCTCTCTCTCTCTCTCTCTTCCTCCCACTCTATCTGAACAAAAAAATGGAAAAATGTCCTCAAGTGAGGATAAAAAAAAAATTGTTTTTTTATTTTTTTGATTCTCACTTGACATTTTTCCATTTTTTGTTCAGATAGAGCAGGAGGGAGAGAGAGAGGAAGAGAGAGAGAGAAACATTGACGTGAAAGAGACACATCGAGTGGCTGCCACCCACACGACCCAACCAGGGACGGGGACAAACTGCAACCGAGGTACATGCCCTTAGCAGGAACTGAACCCCGGGTCTCTCTGGATCGCAGGCCAACACTCTAACTGCTGAGCCAAACCGGCTAGGGCAAAAAAAAAAAAAATTATTTTAATAAAATCAGTAGAAAACAAGATGAAACAAACAAACAAAAAAATGAACTAGAAAAAAGAAAAAAGTTTAGAAAGAAAACAAAAACAAAAAATGCCAAAATGTTACAGAAAAAAAAAAAGAAGGAAAGAAAAACAAAAAAGAAATGAACTGGCTCACTGGAACTTTCCTGTCCTTGTAGTCTTGTGGTCTGTATGAACAGGTTTACATAGATTGTTTATAATACAAGATAACTTTTGTGAATTAACTTTTCCTTTTTATTATTTTGTTAATCCTCATGCAAGGATATTTTTTCCAGTGATTTTTAGAGAGTGGAAGGAGGGAAGGAAAGAGGGGGAGAGAAAGAGGGAAACATCAGTGTGAGAGAGACATATTGATTGGTTGCCTCCCACACTGGCCAGACTAGGGCTGGGGATGAAACCTGCAACCCAGGTACATGCTCCTGACTGGGACTCCAACCGGCAGCCCTCAGTGTGTGGGCTGACACTCTGACCACGGAGCCACACCCGCCAGGGCATAAATTAACTTTTCTTAAAAGCAACAGTGGTTAAATTCTTTATTTTCTGAAAAGCTTTGTGATCTCTGTATACTCTACATAATATGTTTTTAAATTATGTGTTATAGCGGGATTAAAACTAAAACACTGTTTTGTTTCTTCCCATGGAATTCAGCCAGGTGACTTTGTACACACTATGGGAGATGCACACATTTACTTGAATCATGTTGAGCCGCTGAAAATGCAGGTAAGAATTTTGTCTATTGCACTTTGAAGATCGCTCCTTACTCTTGATGAAAGAAGGTTGGTTTATAGGACATTTCCTATAATAGGCATTCTTCTTCTCCATGCTATGACAGAGATGAGGTGACCTGCTCTGACAGCAGGGCTTTAGTTTAGGAGCAGTAGGTGGGCAGGTGGGTGGAGACAAGGCAGACACAAGCCTCAGCAACCACCGGCTCCTAATGTGACAAGTGCTGTGGGGGACTAGGTACCAGTATCAGAGAGGGAGAGCCACATTCAGAACAGGGAATTTGGGACCTTCCCAGAGGTAGCATTTCAACTCATATTTTTACTTGAATTAAAATGCAAATGTTTTCCCTTAAGTTTATGCTAAACACAGTATTTAGGATTGAACTTTCAAAATTCTGTTCAAATCCATAAAATAGCAGCCAACAAACGATTTGAAATGGCAATAAAAATATAAGAGTGTCTGTGCATAATGAATAAAGATGTTAAACCAAAAACCTTTAGGCCCTTCCAGATTAGATACAGCTTTTGCAAGTTTCTCTGTTGAAGAAATTTGTCTGCTTTGACTTAGAGAGTAACTTCAAGACTTATCCAGATGCTTCTCTCTGGCTGACTACTCCTGTCGTGCTGGACAGATGTGTGGTCATGACCTACGTACACCTTCATTGCCACTGTTCACCCCAGGAGTCCTGGTTTGCATTGTCAACAGATGACATTTTTCCTTGCCCTTTCTGCCAGGGATAGTTGGAATGGGGATTATGGGACTCGCGTCACCATTCTGAGTACCTACTGTGAGTTACAGATATAAAAGTAAGAGACCGTGTCCCATCCTTAATACATTTACCAAGAAAAGTCAATCATAAGAACTTACAGTGGGTGAGCCACCAGGCTCCTGACACTGAATGATTCCACAAAATACCCTCCCCTCTCCATGTGTGTGTGAGAAACAACTAATTATGCTCTAATCGTATTGTATAACCAGGGAAAAGGCATCTGCAGTGTTACACCCCTGTAAAATAATACTTGTTGATAAAATACTGCATACTTGTTTTGTGAAGGGATGTGGGGAGCACAATTAAAGCAGTAATACAGATACAGCAAAATAATGGTCTTATGTTTTTAGCTTCAGAGAGAACCAAGGCCTTTTCCGAAGCTTAAAATCCTTCGAAAAGTTGAGACAATTGATGACTTCAAGGCTGAAGATTTTCAGATTGAAGGGTACAATCCTCATCCGACTATTAAAATGGAAATGGCTGTTTAGAGTGCTTTTAAAAGAGTTGTTTGAAGGATGGTGTCAGTCTTTACCGTGAAACTTCTTTTTGCTCTAAAGGAAGAAGGAACTAGGTAAAAAGTTGATTGGTAACCTGTCAGTTATTATTTATTAACTTAAGGCTGTTGCCACTGGCAAATATAACTGTACTGGTTCTCTTAATAGTAAAAGGTTTTGCTTGAGTTTGGTTAACTGAATGAGGATGTATGAAAATGCTGAGATTATGACTAAAGTGAGGAGAGTAAAAACATGTAACATGCATTTCAATCCCAGTTTGTATGAAGTTTAATGAATTTCAAAAGTTATAAGCTACCCCCTCACATTTAAGCAAGCTGAAAACATGAGTCATGATGATGTATAGTTGTTGTGGTTGTGATTATTTAATGTTTTACTTGTTTTAGATATTGTTATAATAAAAAAGTTCTGCATTCATCTGGGTTTTTGTCTGTAATTCTCTATTGCCATTCTGTACAGTTCCTACCTAAAATAGATGAACTGAACCTTCCTAAATAAACATGCTGTATTCTTGTTTGGATGCTGCTGAGGTTAGAATATATTTTAGAAATGCTGACTAAACGGTTCCATTTTTCTATGGTTGGTTTATTTATTTTTAATCCTTATCCAAGGATATTTTTCTGTTTATCTTCAGATAGAGTGGGAGGGAAGGGGAGAGAGAGAGAAACATCTATGTGAGAGAGACACATTAACTGGTTGCCTCCTGCACAACCTTGACCGAGGCTGGGGACCAAACTGCAACCAAGATACTTACCCTTGACCGGAATCGAACCCGCAACTCTTTGGTCCTAGGGCCAATGCTCTAACCTCTGAACCAAACTGGCCTGGGCTCTATGGTTTAATTCTAGCTGCATTTTATTTTTTAAATTATTTAGGATAGCCCTGGCCAATGTGGCTTGGTTGGTTGTCATCCTGTGCACCAAAAGTTTGCCAGTTTGATTCCAGTCAGGCACATACCCAAGTTTCTGGAGGCAACCAATTGATGTTTCTCTTTCATATCTATGCTTTTCTGTCTCTCTCCCTTCGTTTCTCTCTTAAAAAAAAAAAAAATCAATATAAACATTTAAAATTTTTTATTTAGCATAAAGGTGGTTTTTTTATCCTCACCCGAGGACATTTTTGCATTTATCTTCAGATAGAGAGGGAGGAAGAGAGAGGAACATAGACCTGAGAGAGACACATTGAGTGGTTGCCACCCACACAACCCCAATTGGGGCTGGGGACAAACCAACCAAGGTATGTGCCCTTAAAGCAAACCAAACCCAGGACTTTCTGGTCTGCAGGCCGACGCTCTAACTGCTGAGCAAAACTGGCCAGGGCAGATGAAGGTTTTTTAAAAGGTTATTAAAAAACAGTCTATGGAATAATTCTGTAATGTGCTTAGACTGAGCTGGAAAAGAGATGCTAAACCACTTCAGGGCTAATCAGTGGACTCTTTTTATCTTTGTTGTATACCAGATACTCCATGGTGCTGCGGAATTATTTTTATTCTGTTAATTATGACAAATGTTAAGTAGAATAAGGAATTGCTCCAACAATTCCTGCTTATTTTCAAAGTACAGTTTAAGTCCAGGTATCAGCACTTGATAGAAATCTTTTAAGAACATCTTATACTTTGAGTTAGTTAAATCTAAATTTGCTTAAGGATTAAGTAGAAGAGTATGTTTATTTGCTAAAAGAATTAAGTAATCATAATTCCTGAGCTGATTCCTGAGGTTAATATGACTTTAAGCTGAATTTGTTTTCACTGCTAGGATGATTTTCTTTCCCTATATTTGTAAAACCATACCCAAGAAATTGTAAGCCTTTTCACTTGAAAAAGAAATGGGGTGTAAGGGCTGAACACTTAATTCCTTTGAGCAGTGAGGAGTTTCTTCCAGACTTTACCATCTGGATATTGGTGTTTCTTTACAGATTCCTCCTTCATTTCTGTGTAATAACCAGCTTCCTATCAGAGACAAAACAAAAACAGCAGTGTTAATAACCACCTGGAACAAAAAAAATTTATTTTATGTATTTCTGCTGTTCCTAGAAATGCTTTTAAATCTAAGCCAGAGGTAACTAAATTAATATTTTTAAAAGAAGATTCTGGGTGTTTGAAATGGAGGAGAGGGACACACTATTGGCTACATCCTAGGATTAGTGAACGAATAGAATTTCCTGATAGCTCAACCTGTGAAAATGAGGCCTGATCTCGACGTGTGGAGGATAAATGGCCCAGATAACACAACTGCAGTCAAAACTCGTCAGCTGACTAACCCGCTAGTCCGTGCCAGGTTTTTGTTTTTTTGCACAAGGAACACATATTTTAAGGTCTCAGCTGGTGAGGAAAAGCTGGCATTAGAGAGGCCTTGTCGGGCAATTTTACCCTCAAACCCTGACCTGCAGGCCTTAGGAATCTGATGTTGACTAACTATAGAGCCATTGTTTTCTAGATGTGAAAATAAGCCAAGGAGTCAAAGCTTTGAGCTCTAGGGTCTGGCTCCTGGAAGCAGTACGGCCATGTCTTGCTCTCGGAGGCCTTCCTGCCCCGCTCAACTTAGGCGCCACATAGGAAGCATTCTTGATTATTACAGGATACTTGAAATGTTCGAGCAGGTGGTCAACGTATTCGCACATCCTAGGAGGAAGGAATCAGGTGAGGTATTAATGACAAGTTAGATAATTCACTTGGTGGTAACTGTTAAAGCAGAGGGGTGCGCCCAGCCGGTGTGGCTCACTGGTTGAGTGTCGACCCATGCACTAGGTCACTCTTGATTCCCTGTCAAGGCACATGCCCAGGTTGTGGGCCTGATCCCGAATGGGGGGCATGCAGGAGGCAGACAGTCGATGTTCTCACTCATTGATGTTTCTATCTCCCTTTCCCTTCCTCTCTCTAAAATCAAAAGAAAAAATATTTAAAAAAAAAAAAAAAAAAAAAAAAGCAGGAGGGGTGGTACCACAATGAGGAAACGGTGGACTTGGTCAGGGCTTGGCTGATACCAGTTTCCTTCAACCTCTGTGCCTCAGGTTCTTATCTTCTATGAAATAAAGCAATGTGGAAGCTTGGATGAAATGAACCGAAATCTCTTTCAACTAAGGGTTTTGTGACCCCAAAAGGATTCCATTTAGAGTTCATAAAGATCTGAGATTATTTGGGTGCCTTTACCCCAAAGTTAGATGAATAGATTAAAATCACCAAATGGGGTCCCTTCCAGCTATACATATGATTTAGAAAAGCACAGATTTTAGGATCAGACCCATCTATTCAAATTTGGTGTCAGCCACTTACCAGTCTTGGAGCAAGTGGTCTAACTCTGCTGCCTAACTTTAGTCATCAGCTGGCTAATGAACAGCTGCTGTGAGGGCTGGCATGTGCCCTTTGCAGGGGATACACAAGGAATTGGCAAGAGAGGGCCTTGTGCTTTCAGTGGACATAAATACTAAGTCATCGACTATCCTGTTTGCTACCTGTATAAAGAACAGGGGAAGAACCAGCCCCATGGGAGAGCCCGCTGGCTGTGAAGAATGAACAGAGAACAGTGTTCCACACAGGAACTCACAAAGCAGAGATGTTGAGGTGTGACAGCTCACTGGTGGCTTTCTGCCTGCACAGTGACATTCCAGAGCAGTGAGGTCTGCTCTCAGGAGTGGCCTGAGGCACTTCACTCACTCCTGCGATCACAGTGCACAATGGCTCAGGGCTGACCCTGTTTTCCTCATTCCCTCAAGGCCTGCAAAACTTTTCAGGAACCCTCCTTGGTCCTGCCTTCAGGAACTGAACTGAGGGGCAAAAGCAGAATATCTTAGGAATGTTTATTTTTTATAGTTTAAAATAATTCTGAGAGAGAGAGATTAAGCAACTCAATAAGCTTTTTTCCCCCTAAGAATCCTGATTAAAATTCAATACACAGAAGACTGTCCAACAGTTCCAGTATATTTCTAATACTGTATATGGAGTGCTTTCTGGACAGTTATTAATTAGAAGGTAATGTAAAAATATATACAATATTAACACTTCCTAAATATTACTTAATAAAAGAAATATAGCCCTGGCTGGTTTGGCTCACTGGTTAGAGTGTCAGACTACAGGATTTGATTCCTGGTCAAGGGCGTGTACCTGGGTTGCAGGTTTCATCCCCAGCCCTGGTCCATGTCGAGTGGGAAGCAGCCAATCGATGTGTCTCTCTCATCTCAATGTTTTTCTCTTTCTCCCTCCCTCCCACTATCTGAAGAAAAATAGAAAAATATCCTCAGGTGAGGATTAAAAATAATAATACTAATAGAAATTTAAAAAAAAAGAAATACAAGTCTCTGAAAACAAACAAACAAACACTGCCTGCTCACTCACTACCCATCTTACGGAAGGAATCAGTACTTTATAACTAAAGTCCCCTACATACCTTTACAGGTCCCATTTCTTTCTCACAACCCTGAATTTGGTGTTTACCTTTCCCACGAATTTTTTTTTTTTTTTTTTTTTTTGTGGTACATGCCTCTAGCAGGAACCGAATCCGGGACTCTCTGGTCCACAGGTTGACACTCAATCACTGAGCCAAACTGGCCAGGGCTCCCACACATGTTTTTATGCTTTCACCATATACTTCTAGGGATCTTTCTGTGATAACACATTTAATTCCAGAAAGAAGTTAAAACGTATGTGTGTAGACAACTAGAAGGGGATTGTCTTAATTTAAAGCTCACCTGGGGCACATTGAGAAATCAGATGGATTGAAAGTGTTAGTAATGTTTTAAAGGGTGAAGGTAAAAGTTTGCAAAAGGCAGGAACTGTGGAAATTGTGTTGCTTGCGTGACCTTTGCTCAGCCTTTTGTTGAATACGGATAAGGATTATCTGGATTGTCCGAAAGGCAATGGATAACTCAGCAGATGCGGGATGAGATACCAGACCAGTCCTACTGCAAAGTGGACAATGAGCCAGACAAAGTACATCAGCAGAAACTGCTGGAAGCTAAAAGTAGGGTATATAACCGACATCCAAACCCTAATTCAAGGCTGAACCCTTCTCAGCTCAGCCCGCCTGCACCCAGGCACTTGCAATAAAGCCATTTTGCTCTACATTGGTCTTGTGTTATGGATGTGATCTCCTGCCAGCTCAGACCTTTTAGAAATAAATAGTAATGATGTGACCAGATCAGGGAAGACTCCAGCATTTGACAGATTAGACAGAGCAGAGAATATACCTATGATGGAAGTGGGATTTTAGAAAGTCAGAAACAACTCTGGCAGTTTTAACTCAGTGATTAGAGCATCAGCCCGCGGAACAACGAGTCTCGGGTTGGATTCCAGTCAAGGGCACGTACCTCGGTTGCGGTTTGTCCCTGGCCCTGGTCGGGTTGTGCAGTAGGCAACTGGTCAATGTATCTCTCTCACGACGATGTTTCTTTCTTTCTCCCTCCCTCCCACCCTATTTGAAGATAAATGGGAAAATATCCTTGGGTGAGGATTAAAAAAAAGAAGAAGAAAGTCAGAAAGAGAAGCCAGTTGAGGAAGGGGTTCTGGTTTCCATCTGGTTGAAAACTCACCCTCTCCCCTGCCTCCATGTACTTACAAATCTAAGTGATTCAGCTTTCTAGAACCCATCCCCCTAAAAGAAAAATGACTCTTCACTGTTGGGTCTCCGTGTTACTGCCCTGTGGGAGAAATGGAAGCAAAACCAGCCTGGTCTTTGAGTCACAGGATGTGCCAACGGACAGGGCACTTAGAGCCTTTGGTCACGAGAGCAGGATGAAAAGCTCTGGCCTGGACTGAGGGACACGAAGTTAAGCCACATCACTCACCTGTTTGTAAGGCTTGCAGAGATGGATATGAAGTCAAATAGAATCAGGTGCTGTACCAACTCACAGAGGCCAACTCCACCAGCATGGGGGCAGACAGGAACTGAAATGAAGGCAGATTTCTACTGAAAGCCAAGAGTTCGGCAGAAAAAGGGGAAGAGTGAGAACCTGCAGTTTTTCTTATTGCCTGCAAGCGATTAAATCATTTATTAATGTTTAGGGATAAAATCCCAGGATGAAAATCATCAAAGACTCCCTGATTAGGCCTAACAGTTAGAATAAAAGCAAAACGGCAAACTGCAGAGGGAACCACAGGTGTCTCATGGGCAGGGAAATGAAGGTTTGGTCTACAGGCTGCTGCGCCCTTACTTTCAAACTTTTTGGCCATCAGCAACACTGAGAGGCTCTCATTGACACTTCCCAGCCTACAGCTGTCACTCTGGAGAAACTGCAGGGCTTCCGCCTGTAAGAGCTGCTTAAACATCACTCTGTTGTGGCACTGGAAACAGAATTACAATAAAATCAAAAGAAGAATCAGCCTTGGACACCAGGGTCTGCAAACCTGGCAGCATGCCAAGTACAAGTCGCTCTTCAGTGACCTTCAGGAAACCTGGACTGTGTTTATTCTTATTTATTTTTCTCTATTGATTTTGGAGAGAGAGGAAGGGAGAGGGAGAGAGAGATAAAAACATCAGTGAGAGAGAACATCTATTGTCCACCTTCTGCATGCCCCCTACTGGGGATTTGGCCCAAAACCTGGGCATGTGCCCTGACCAGGTAGCGAACCAGCGACCTCTTGGTGCATGGGTCGATGCTCAACCACTGAGCCACACTGGCCAGGCAACTGTGTTTATTCTTTATTCTCAGTTGGCATGAGGCAAGCCCAGACAGTCCAGATGGGGACTTTCTACTCGCTTCTTTACAAATCAGCAAGTATAACAGTGTGAGTCATGTATAGTCACACGGCTTGCCACCTCTGAAGGAATAACAGTCATAGAGAAATGATGAAACACAGTGACAGCAATGAGCAGATGGCACAGATGACAAAACAACCATGGCAGAGCAGCATTGCTCCTTTTGCCGGGAAAACCGAGAATCTGTTCCCTCTCCCTGCTCTGCTCGCAGGCTGACGACTGCAGGTCTTGGCAGGCGTCAATGCTTCGTTTGTAAGCACAAAGCATGAACGCAATAATACTTACCCAGTTTGGAAGCTGGCTTTCTTAGAACCACACAGTGCATTTTATGCCCTTGCAAAAGAAAGTTTAAATTGCTACCATATAAATTTCCATTAGACACTTTGAAAAGAATAAATGACCTTAGTCATATGAATTATAGAACAATCCAGACACTTTTGACTAATCTGACTCTTGACTCTAATGAATTGCTGTAAAATGACCCAATTTCTAAGATTATGAAAATTTCCCGACTCAAAATACAAGTGATACAGCCTAACATATGACAATCTCCTCAGAAGGTGGCCAGTGTTTACTGACCCAAGGAGATGACACTTACCATTTCTCCTATGGCAACGCCAATTCCTAATGGGACCAATGCCTATAAAATATAAGACACCTAGTGTTATCTTTCCAAGTTACTGAACTGAAAATTTTGTATTTAAAAGTTTGGAGCTATTTAACTATTTAATGTTTAACTATTCAGAGCTGAAGAAAGAAACGTCCTTGCTGCGGAAGAGTGCAAGGCAGTCAAGGAGAATGTGTGCATACGGGAGGGGCTGCGTACGTCTGCAGAGGAAAGGTCATGCTTGCTCACACGCTGCCATTAGCTCCCTTCATGGCTATGGCCCTGCAGATTGTGTCTGGAGCCCGGGCAGTGGTGCGGAACTGGGAGAAGACGCAGCCACTCAGGAGTGGCTCCTCACAGACTTGAGGGGTTAGCCTCTGGCTGACTCCTTCTCATAGGTCATCACTCTCTTTATTCCCATCTTGTTGTCTCTCTGATGAGCCCCCGTCAGTGGTTAATCTAGAACACTGTCACTTCAAGCTCGGTGGGTGCCCACAGACCCTACTTTATTAGTTGGGCTCAGTTGGTGAGGTACTGAAATCTTCTGGTGATGCTGCTCTTTCTGTCCTACCCGCTGAAGCTACTTCATTCCCCACTAACTGGGCTCCTAAGCTCTAGGCCTGCCCCCCCACCCCACCCCCCCGACCCCATTGGAACTGCAGAGCCACACACTAGCCCCTACAGGCATCCTTGGTTCCTCCATGGCTTGGCCTTACCATTGTTTAGGGAATAGTATCAATGACAATAATGGCTAACACTTTCTGGGCTCTTACTACGCTGCCTTGAGCAAAACCCTGACTGAACAATTCCTCATCACAACCCCCTGAGATAGGAGCCATCATGATCCCCATTTCACAGATGAGAAAATGTGTACGGGGTTAGCAACTCTCCTGGATCACAAAGCTTACAAAGTTGTGGAGCCAGGGCCTGAAATCTCGGCTGACCCCAGAGCCAAAGGAGGCATCTGAATCACTAGATATGCTGACTTCCCTGCAGAAGAATCTTTAATGCAGGAGCCAGGTGTCCCCTGTGCCTGCCTTAACAGGTGTATAGACTTGGGCGAGTCACAGACGGCCCGCAGGTCAGAAGATAGTCCCTGGGGTACCATTTAGTGCTAATGGCTTATGGTTTCTGAAACTCCTAATTTAAGGAGGCTTGCTTCTTTCTCAAAAGAAAACGGGGATGGGGAGGGAGGAGCCGTGGTAGAGGGAGAAAGCCATTTGATTTATTCATTCCACCATCTTTAAAGCATATATGATTCTGACTCTGAATAAGTACCAAATGTTATTTCCTCCTTTAAATATTTCCTGAATCTGCCCCCATTCTACCCTCCTCTACCCCGCTTAATGCAAAAGCCTCCAAGCCCCTGTCCCAGCCTCCACTCTTTCTGCCCACTCCTCACCTCTCCTATACCCCTGTCACCCATCCTACATGCTGCCACCAGTCAAACCATCCTTATTTCCATTCTTTCATTCAAGAACCTATAGTGCCTCCCTGTGTTCAACTGCATCTTCTGAGCAGGTGGACCCCAGAGCCTGGCCCCAGGTGCCTTCCTTCCCTACAACCCCACCACGAACCCCCATTCAGCTGGATCCCTCCATGGCCCTACTGTGCTGGCTCTCTCAGCTCCCCCTGCCTTGGTTCCTCTCTCCCCACTTCTGCAGATGCCTCTTGAGAGCATGGCCTCCCAGACAGAGGACTGAAGCCCAGAAGCACTTCCAGGGAGACTCTCCAGGTGGCAGAGTTTCTGATCCCTGTTTGGACAAGTTGGCAGTCATTAGGACACAGCTGTGCCACAAGAACCCCAAAGCAAAAGTTTATTTACCCATGAACCCTCACCAGATTCTCATTTTGGGGTGATTCCTCGGAAGGTTTCCTCTGTGTTTAAATCAAAGGCTATGGTCACTCCACGGCTCCTGCTGGGTATCCCTCACCTGCAGTGTAGCTTCCTTAGCTGGCTCCATCTTAATCCCATGGTGGCTCCTGCTGTCCCAGCCCACAGCCCTGTCCCTTCTGTAACCCTCCTTCTACCGCCCTCAGGGCCCTGCCCCGTGTTCCACCTGTCTGTTTCATGGATCTTAGTCTTCTCTCTCCCGTCAGGCTGTAAAGTGGGGAAAGTGGAGGGCATTCCTTAAGCACAGGTTTTGTAGAGTGTTTGATATATGGATATCATGGACCTGAGATTTACTGAGAGAAGTGGACCCCACTGCCCATTAGGACCTGTGACTTCATGCAGGTGCACAGTGAGGTATCCCTCCTGGAACATGGGACTAAGATGTCCTCAGAGGGAAAATTTTAAGAGCAGCACATAAAGGGGAAGAGTAGATGCCAACTGACCTCAAGGAGAAAAAACAGTTCCTAGGCTCCTAGGCAGGTGGACTGGCCTCTAAGCCAAATGAATGTACTAACCAAAGGCACAATGTGGTGGGGAAGGGTTTTCAGATGAAAGCATAAAGGGGGTCCGAGGCGTGTGTTGGCTGGACCTGTACAAGCACTGCCTGGGGCCACAAGCAGGTATATCTGTACTGCAAAGATGGATGTGTTGGGCCATCTTGGTCTGATGTCACCACATATTCAAATCCCATAACCAGTTCCTGCCCTGGTTCCTCACTCATCCTGCAGCCTTTGATGGAATATGGCTACTCATGGAGCTTGTTCTGGTCAGAGGATATCAAAATCTAGAGCTCCCAGAAGTTAGTTTTCCTTTTAAAGTAACCAGCTGGCATTCTGGTTTTATACATCAGTGCTGTAAGCTGGGCTAATGGGAACCTCTCCCTGAGAGATGGGATGTTTCTCAGATGTTCTGACAAATCAGGTTCTTCCTAAACCTGAAAGGGAGTTAGGGTGGATTTTTGAAAGAAGAACCCTGGTGCAGAGGGAAGCAGACAGGCAGCCTTCTCTTTGGGAGACCTGACCTTGACATAGCTAAGCCTTTCCTTTTGAGTCATCCAGAGGAATCTATGCTTCTTATTTTATTCTGGGTGAGTAAAATATTTTACTATCAGTCAGCTGTGTATATTTACAAAGCATTCAGCTCTTAGCCATTTACTCTCTCTAAAATAAATAGAAATAAAGGGCAGTGGATAAACAGAAGTGAACAAAAGGATGTCAGGTCTGCAATTTCAGTACTTGTTACAAGTTACAATGATTTCAGCTACTTCATCAGGAAAAGTGAAGGGGAACAGGCAAAGGAATTTTAGGATCTGTTGCAACCACTGTGGAAAATGAAACAAAAAATACATGGCAGTGACAGGACCCCAGCAGTTGCAGCTGTTCTACCTTGGAGATGGTGGCGTGTCCCAGAATGTCATCAGGGGAGGTTGGCTCCTCAATCCACAGGGGCTTGAACTCAGCCAGCTTTGACACCCACTCCACTGCCTCGGGCACATCCCAGCGCTGGTTGGCATCCATCATCTGTAAGGAGAGACCCTTCATGGTGAGGTCTGCCAGCTGCTGACCTTGCTGCAGGGATGTGGCTCCCGGGTAAGAAATGTTGTCACTCAGTGCCACTGACAGCTGAGCAAGACTCCCCTGGGGAGCCTGACATTTCTTCTTTGGAGGACCAGCATGCAATCATAACACAGGGAGCCAAAGAGCAGCCACAGAGACTGGAATTTTGGCTCCAGATACTGCAAGTGCTCAAATAACATCACTACATTATAATGTTGATGACATGCTATAGGAACTTAACTCTTGTTTATATCAATTAGGCTATAGTAACATTGGTTTCATTATATATCATTATGCTTGAAGTCGCAGAACCTATCAACAACATTAAGTGAGGACTTACTGTACTGTCTTTGGAGATGTCCAGGAGTGTCCTGGGCTGGGCCCATGACACGTGTTCACTGGCCCTGGAGCTCTAATCCAATCTGCATTTAGATGCCACCAAATATTTTTGTGTTGCAGTGCTCATTGTTTGTAGGAACCGTTTTATCACATTCTGAATCATACACAGCAATGAATTTGTTCAATGGTCATTTATTGACTATTGTCTACTAGGTGTCTGGCACAATAATAAATAACCCAAACTCTACAATTAATTAAGCACCTATGCCACTAGGCATTTTATGCATTTTGTCCCATTTAATGTTTTTAATAACTCTACAAGGCAACTCATATTAACCCATTTTACAGATAAAACTGACATGCAGAGAAGTTAAGTAACTTGCCCACGATAATAAGTCAAGTAAATGGTGAGTTCAAGTTTAGGCCTCTTACTCCAAGGCCCTAGCTCTCTGTGTGCAGAGATCCTGCCTGGAAGCCAAATGCTGGGTATGCAGAATCTAACAAAGGGCTGCTCCATACCCTACACTATGACACTTTGAAAATAGGGACACGGAGACAGCTACCTATACTACAGAGATTTTCAACCTTTTTCATGTCATGGCATATATAAACTAATCACTAAAATTCAGTGGCACACCAAAATATATATTTTTTTGCCGATCTGACAAAAGAAAAATATAATTTTGATTGATTTACAAAAAATAATAATAATAACAGTAATTATCTACCCTTTTTGCTCCAAAGTGACTTTTAAAAAAATCAGGTATCTATGTCCTGGCCGGTGTGGCTCAGTTAGTTGAGCATTGTCCTGTGCAATGAAAGGTTGCCAGTTCAATTTCTGGTCAGGCACGTGCCCGGGTTATGGGCGCAATCCCAGTAAGGTGTGTGCAGGAGGCAGCCAATTGATGTTTTGCTCTCACATGCATGCTTCTCTCTCTCTCTCTCCCACTTCCTTTCTCTCTTAAAAAAAAAAAAAAGAGATTCCAAAATGGCGGCGGAGTGAACAGAAGTTACACAGACCACCTCCCAGAACCAAACTGGAATTACAACTATAACACAGACAAATCGACGGGAAAAACCAACAGAATAGCAGCTTGCGAGGACCATATAACCAGGGACAATGACTCGATCCTGGTAGGCTTGCGAAGGCGCAAGATGGGGGCTTGGGGGCTTGGAGCCCACGGTCATCAGCTCGGCAGCGGCCTCAGCTGTGAGCGGCGCCCTTGGGTTACACTCCCAAGTGGCTCCACAGAGCAGAGCTGGAACAAAGGCTAAAAAAGCCACAGCCACTCACCTTGGGCTCTGGCAGAGGGAGGGCAGACTGGACTGGAGCTGGGTCGGGACACTCAGGATTTGGAGGGCACTCAGAGCTTTTGTTGAGTTGCTGCCACTCAGGACGGTGGGCATATTGCTCCTTCCCAGGGCTCTGGGGAGAGGCAGCAGCCCCACCCTTGGAGATCCAACCCCACCCTGTGGGCCATTGAAGTGCTAATTGAAGCTCATTAACAACCAGCATCTGCCCCACCCTGGTGAAATCACCTTATGTTGAGCACCTGAGGGAGTTTTTCAATCAACTGACAACCGAAAACCCATCAAGTAATCTCAACTGCTAGCCTCCAGGTAAAAAGCTAGAGGATAACAGTCCCTTTACAGGGCTAGCAACTTTAACCAGGAAAGTAAGACTTAACAGTGGAGTTTAACGTGGGTCCTTTCTCGCTCATCTAAACCCAGGAGAGGGAGCCACAAACAGCAGAACACCAACACCCACAAGGAAAACTTGACAGGCTCCAAAGGCCATAGTGATAGCCAAAATGGTGAAACACAGAAAAAGAAGCCAAATGAAAGAGCAAAAGACCTCCACCGAAGATGAGATCAATGTGGAGCAGTTAGGCATGTTAACAGAGCTAAAATTCAGACCCATGATCTTGAGAAAGCTCAACAGCATGAGTAAGGACATAGAGATGCTGAAAATAAGCCAATTGGAATGTAAAAACCATCAAGAAGAGATAAAAAAATGACATGTCAGAAATGAAAAACACATTGGAAGGTTTAAAAAGCAGAGTAGAGGAAGCTGAGGACTGGATCAGTGAATTAGAAGACAGGGTAGAAAAAATCAACCAATCAGAAAACCAAAAGGAAAAAACGATTAAAAAACAGGAAGACAGCTTAAGAGAACTGTGGAACAACTGGAAATGTAATAATATTTGCATCATAGGAGTCCCCGAAGAAGAAGAAAATGAGCAAGGGATAGAGAATATATTCAAAAAAATAGTGACAGAAAACTTCCCTAATTTGGTGAAGGAAGAAGGCATTCAAGTTCAAGAAGCACAGAGAGTCCCAAGTAAAAAGAACCCAAACAGGCCCACACCAAGACACATAGTAATTAAAATGCCACAAATTAAAGACAAAGAGAGAATCCTAAAAGCAGCAAGAGAGAAGCAACAGGTTACCTACAAAGGAAACCCCATAAGGCTCTCAGCTGACTTCTCACAAGAAACACTACAGGCCAGAAGGGAATGGCATGAAGTAATCAAAGTCATGAAAAACAAGGATCTGAATCCAAGACTACTCTACCCAGGAAGGCTATCATTCAAAATAGAAGGTCAAATAAAGAGCTTCCCAGACAAAAAAAGGCTAAGGGAATACATTAGCACTAAACCAGCACTGCAAGAAATGTTAAAAGGACTGCTGTAATTAGCAGAAGAAAAGGGAAGAAAAATAGAATCACACTAAACAAAAATGGCGATAAATAAGTACATATCAATAATCACCTTAAATGTTAATGGATTGAATGCTCCCATAAAAAGACACAGAGTAGCTGATTGGATAAGAAAGCATGACTCATCTATATGTTGTTTACAAGAGACCCACCTCACAACAAAAGACTCACATAAGGTTGAAAGTGAAGGGATGGGAAAAAATCTTCCAAGCAAATGGAAAGGAAACAAGAGCTAGGGTAGCAATGCTCATATCTGATAAAATAGATTTCCAAATGAAGGCCATCACTAGAGACAAAGAAGGCCACTACACAATATTGAAAGGATCTATCCAACAGGAAGATATAACCTTGATAAACATATATGCACCCAATATAGGAGCACCAAAATATATTAAAAATCTTCTGGAGGACTTCAAAGGAGAAATCGACAGCAATACAATCATAGCAGGGGACTTCAACACCCCATTGACACCACTGGATGGATCCTCTGAACAAAAAATTAGCAAGGAATCAGACTCTAAATGAAGAAGTAGACCAAATGGATTTAATAGATATCTACCGAGAAATACACCCAAAAACTACAGAATTCACATTCTTCTCAAGTGCACATGGGACATTCTCAACGATAGACCACCTGATAGGATACAAGCTAAATCTCTACAAGTTCAAGAAGATTGAAATCATATGAAGCATCTTCTCAGATCATAATGGCATAAAACTAGAAATCAATTGCAACAACAACATGCAAAGACATCTGAACACATGGAAGCTACATAGCATGTTATTAAACAATGAACAGGTTACCATGAGATTGAGGAAGAAATTAAAAACTTCCTGGAAACCAATGAAAATGAAGACACAACAACACAAAATCTCTGGGATACAGCAAAAGCAGTTCTGAGAGGGAAGTTCATAGCACTACAGGCCTACCTCAAGAACAAGAAAAATTTCTAATTGACTGTCTAACCTCACAACTTAAAGAATTAGAAAGCAAACAAAAAGAAGACCCCAGAGCAAGTAGAAGGAAGGAAAGAGTAAAGATCAGAGCAGAAATAAATGACATAGGGACCAAAAAAACAATTCAAAGGATCAATGAAACAAAGAGCTGGTTTTCAAAAAGATAAACAAAATTGATGGACTCTTAGCTAGACTCACTAAGAAACAAAGAGAGAGAACCCAAATACACAAAATCAGAAATGAAAGAGGAGTAGTAACAACTGACACCACAGACATTCAAAAGATTGTTAACAGGTACTATGAACAATTATATGGCAACAAATTTGACAATCTAAGCGAAATGGACAAATTTCTAGAAACACATAGTCTCCCAAAACTGGACCCGGAAGAGATAGAAAACGTGGGCAGACCAATAACAACTAAGGAAATTGAAGAGGTAATCAAGACTCTCCCAGCAAACAAAAGCCCAGGCCCAGATAGCTTCACAGGGGAGTTTTACCGAACATTCAAAAAAGAACACCCATTCTCCTCAAACTATTTCAAAAAATTCAAGAAGAAAAATTCCAAACTCCTTATATGAGGCCAGCATAATTCTAATTCCAAAACCAGAAGAAGACACTACAAAGAAAGAAAACTACAGGCCAATATCCCTGATGAACATAGACGCCAAAATCCTAAACAAAATACTAGCAAATCAGATCCAGCAACACATCAAAAAAATTATTGACCATGACCAAGTGGGATTCATCCCAGGGATGCAAGGCTGGTACAATATTCTCAAGTCAATAAATGTGATACACCACATAAACAAAATGAAGAATAAAAACCACATGATCATATCAATAGATCCTGAAAAAGCATTTGACAAAATCCAGCATCCATTTCTGAGAAAAACTCTCGGCAATCTGAGAATAGAGGGATCATATCTCAACATAATAAAGGCCATATATGAAAGACCTACAGCCAATATCATGCTCAATGGGCAGAAACTAAAAGCATTTCCCTTAAGAACAGGAACAAGACAGGGATGCCCACTTTTGCCACTCTTATTTAACATAGTACTGGAAGTCTTAGCCACAGCAATCAGACAGGAAGAAAAAATAAAAGGGATCCAAATTGGAAAGGAGGAAGTGAAACTGTCATTATTTGCAGATGACATAATATTATACATAGAAAACCCTAAAGACTCTATCAACAATCTACTAAACTTAATAAATGAATTTGGCAAAGTAACAGGACACAAAATTAATGCCAAGAAATTGACGGCATTCTTATACACCAATGATGAAGTCACAGAAACAGAATCTGAAAAAACAATCCCATTTACCATCACATCAAAAAAGTTAAGATACCTAGAAGTAAAGGACCTATTTGCAGAAAACTACTAGACATTAAAAATATATATATATATAGAGGAAGATATAAAAAAGTGGAAGCACATACCTTGTTCATGGATTGGAAGAATTAACATCATTAAAATGTCTATATTACCCAAAGCAATCTATAAATTTAATGCAATCCCCATCAAAATACCAATGACATATTTCACAGAACTAGAACAAATACTTCAAAAGTTTATATGGAACCAAAAAAAGACCTTGAGTAGCCACAGCAATCTTGAGAAAGAAGGACAAAGTATGTGGGACCACAATACCAGATATCAGGTTATGCTACAAAGTGACTGTAATCAAAACAGCCTGGTACTGGCACAAGAACAGGCATATATTGCCCTGGCCAGTTTGGCTCAGCGGTTAGAGCATTGGCCTGCAGTCCAGAGAGACCTGGGTTCAGTTCCCACTAAGGGTATTTACCTTGGTTGCAGTTTGTACCCGGCTCTGGTTGGGTTGTGTAGGTGGCAACCACTCTATGTGTCCCTTTCACGTCGATGTTTCTCTCTCTCTCCCTCCCACTCTATCTGAACAAAAAATGGAAAAATGTCCTTGGGTGAGGATTAAAAAAAAAAAAAAGAACAGGCATATAGACCAGTGGAACAGAACAGAGAACCCAGAAATGGACTCAAGGCAATATAGTCAATTAATATTTGACAAAGGTGGCAAGAGCATACAGTGGAGTAAAGACAGCCTCTTTAACAAATGGTGTTGGGAAAATTGGACAGCTACATGCAAAAAAATGAAACTAGACCATCAACTTACACCATACACAAAAATAAACTCAAAATGGATAAAAGACTTAAATGTGACCCGTGAATCCATAAAAATTCTAGAAGAAAATATAGGCAACAAAATTTCGGACATCATACGGAGCAGAATTTTCACTGATACATCACCTAAGGCAACAGAAACAAAGGAGAAAATGAACAACACATGGGACTACATCAAACTCAAAAGCTTCTGCACAGCAAAAGAAACAACTATCAACATGGAAAGGCAACCCACTGTATGGGAGAACATCATTGCCAATGATGCATCAGATAAGGGGTGAATTTCTAAAATATATAGAGTATTCATACCACTGAACAAAAGGAAGACAAAGAACCCAATTAAAAAATGGGCAGAGGAGCTGAATAGACACCTCTTCAAACAGGATATACAAATGGCCAAGAAACATATGAATAAATGCTCAACATCACTAATCATCAGAGAGATGCAAATTAAAACAACAATGAGGTATCACCTCACACCTGTCAGAATGGCGGCCATCAACAAATCATCAAACAAGTGTTGGCGAGGGTGTGGAGAAAAGGGGACTCTAGTACACTGCTGGTGGTAATGCAGACTGGTGCAGCCATTATGGAAAACAATATGGTGTTACTTCAAAAAATTAAAAATTGAACTTCCATTTGACCCAGTGATCCCATTTCTAGGTATATACCCTAAGAAGTATGAAACACCAATCAGAAAGAATATATGTACCCCCATGTTTATAGCAGCACTATTTACAATAGCTAAGATCTGGAAACAGCCAAAGTGTTCATCAGTAGACGAATGGATAAAAAAGCAGTGGTACATATACACAGTGGAGTACTATGCAGCTGTAAGAAAAAAAAAGATCTCTTATCCTTTGAGACGACATGTGGGGACCTGGAAAGTATTATCCTAAGTGAAACATGCCAAGCAGAAAAAGACAAATACCACATGATCTCACTTATTTGTGGAATATAATGAATGTAACAGTCTGAGGAATAGGGTAGACCCAGAGACGTGGAAGTAGGGTACAGACTGACAACCCTCAGAAGGGGAGTGGTGGGGGGAGGGAAGTGATAAACCACAGACCTTATATGCATGTATGCATAACCAATGGACATGAACAACAAAGCCAGGCACGGGGCGGGGGGGATGGGGAGGAGTATGTCAATGGGGTAAAAAAGGAGAAACATCTGTAACAAAAATAAAATAAAATAAAAAAGAATAACAACAAAAAAATGAATAAAAATTCTTGCTTAACCAGCTGGTTTGGCTCAGCGGTTGGGCATTGACCCATGCACCAAGAGGTAGCCAGTTAGATTCCCGGTCAGGGCACATGTCCAGGTTGTAGGCTCAATCCCCAGTAGGGGGGCATCCGGAAGGAGGCCAATGTACTTATCTATCTCATCAATGTTTCTATCTCTCTCCCTCTCGCTTCCTTTCTCCCTAAAATCAATAAAGAAAAAATTTTTTTTTTAATTCTTGCTGCACACCAGTTGAAAATTGCTGCTCTAGTAGAATGTGTCATGTGGTGAGAGTGCCCTCATGGGACACTATCAGAACCAGAGGACAGTACACACAGAATCAGTTTTGTTTTTTTTATCCTCACCTGCGGACATTTTTTTTGCATTTATCTTCAGATAAAGTGGAAGGGAGAGAGGGAGGAAGAGAGAGAGAGAGAAACATCGATATGAAAGGGACACATTGAATGGTTGCCACCCACATGACCCCAACCGAGGCCGGGGACAAACTGGAACTGAAGTACGTGCCCTTAGTGGGAACTGAACCCAGGACTCTCTGGTCTGCGGGCTGACGCTCTAACCACTGAGAAAAACCAGCCAAGGCCAGAATCAATTATTATAAATAATTTGGATGAGGATGACCTCACAAGACAAAAGTAGCATTAATTTATGTATAAATAATGGGACATCTGATCCTAGGTCAAGGACTCCAAACTTCTATTTTAACTTAGGAAACAAGTTTCTAAACCTTAATAAAAACATCTTATTGTGACTTCCTTTTATGAAAATATTTTATAAATAATAAGAAATGTTTTTAAACTACACAGTTAGGAATACTGATCCTTTCATTTATCTCAAAGTTCCAGCATTTCTTCAACAATGGCTCCCGGAGAACCACTTACCTGATGAGCTAGGTGTTGGTCAGACTTGTTAAGGAGGGAGATTAAATGATTGACACACGCGGGCACCAATGGGAGACCTGTTTGCTCGGGTGCATTCATATTAGCAAGAAGGAACAATCCCTAATCCTGATCTTAACTAGTTATGCAGAATAAAAAAACATTTAACCATCAGCCCCCTCAACTGTTTGTTTGTTTTTTAATCCTCATCTGAGGACATTTTTCCATTTTTTGTTCAGATAGAGTGGAAGGGAGAGAGAGAGAAACATCGATGTGAAAGGGACACATCAAGTGGCTGCCACCCGCACGACCCAACCATGGCTGGGGACAAACTGCAACCGAGGTACATGCCCTTAGCGGGAACTGAACCCAGGTCTCTCTGGACCACAGGCCAGTGCTCTAACTGCTGAGCCAAACCGGCCAGGGCTATTGTTTTTTGTTTTTTATTTTTAAGAGTTTACCTACTGTAACAAGACCACAAAACTGTACTTCCTCTGGCATTCAGTTTTTAAATTCCCAAAGTTTTTAAATCCTTACTTGAAATGAGTTGCAGTTTGGTCCTGGACACAGGTTTCCTATATAGCTGTTTATTTCTCAGTGGAAGGAGAGGATATTTACCAAAGTCTTCTCGGGTCCAATCATATTTCTGATGAGTCGGCATCTAAGGATGTCATCCTGGAGATCAGCACCAACTTTTACCTTAAACCTGTAAAATCAATTTGGTTTGATAGTTACATTCCCTGACTTAGCAATGATACCTGAAGTGACCGTCTCTGAAAATAATTCACAGATCACATTCTCTAGTAACTTCTTGCTCTTTCCCAATAAATCTTCAGAAAAATCACTTGAAAATAACCCTGAAAACATTATATCTTTACCTCACTATCAGGGCAATGAGTGTCAATTACCGGTGATCTAAACTTAAAAAACTTGAGAGAGCAGTTAGACCTTTAATAACATTAACTGAGTTCTTGCTGTGCCATGAAAAATAAATAAGAAGGAAAAAGCTGTCTTCTGGACAAGATGGCGTGTAGATAAATGCAGTATCGCCTCCCCCCCCAACCACATCAAAAGTACAACTAAAGTACAGAAAAATCATCATTCAAATCCATCTGAAATCGAGCTGAATGGAAGTCCTACAACTATGAAATTAAAGAAGCAGCCACATCAAGACTGGTAGAAGGGGTGGAGGCACGGTCAGGCTGGTCCCAACGCCCACATGTGGCTGATAAAACTCTGGAGGGTACCTCAGCTGTGGAGGTCCTCCCTGAGGAGTGAGGGGTCCCTATCCAGCTCAGGGTTCCAGTGCCAGGAAGAGAAGTCCCCATAACTTCTGGCTGTAAAAACCAGTGGGAACTGAGGTTGAGGAAGGCTGAGGCTGGAATACCAGGCAGCTCCTCTTAAAGGGCCTGTGCACGGACTTATTCGGACTTGCTCCCTCTGAGATCCAGCATGGGGGAGGCAGCTCGAGAGGCACCAGAGACATACGGGGAAGAACTGAGTTGTTTGGCATTGGGGCGAGGGTGAGAGAGGCAACTTTCTCCTGGACAGATGTGCTGGTGGAGGCCATTGTTCCTTTGGTGAGCCCTTCCCCCATGAGGCCAGCAGACGGCTGCTATATCTGGGACTCCAGCAACCTGGCTCACACTGTTTGCCCTACCCTGGTGATTCCCAGAGGCCCTGCCCCACCCAACTTTCAGGCCCATCCAAGCTGTTTCTAGTGGCTTTATCATAGGATTAGCCTGTCTTGGATCCTGCTTCAGATTTTCCTAAATTCTCTCAAATAAGCAGCATCTGGTCTCAGTGAGTCCCAAACCTCTCATTAAGTGGCCCCAAGCCTGGCACTAGAAGCAGCCAGCCTTGGTTCACAGCTTGGCTTTGCCTGGGCACCTCCAAGCCCAGCACAAACAGCAGCCATCTGCACCCCGCTTTGTTGCTTATGCCTGGTGGCCCCAGGTAGAACACAGGCAGTGGCTGACCTTGTCCAGGAGCCAGCACACCCAATGGACAGCTTCAGAACACTGAAGCACCACCACCCAACCACCTCCACAAGTGACACACTCAAGGAATGACTCAGTGGGTACCAGAGCCTTGCTGAAGTAAGTCTTGCTCTGTGTGGTGGGCCTCTGCACAGTTGATCATCCAAAGTAGTCAGAGGTCGGTGATTAGTGGGCACAGCCAGTCCTTGAAGCTGATCAGCCTGAGTAAAACCCTCTCATTGATGTGTCAACAGCAATCAAGACTCAATTACAACAGAAGGGTATAAAGTCCACTCAAGGGGTATAGCTGAAGGGCTTAGCTGGGAGACCAGGGAGGCTGTGCCACTGGACCCTGAAGGACACCTACTACAACAGGCCACCCTAGGAAGCCCAGGAAACATAGCAACTCTACCTAATACATAGAAACAAACACAGGGAGGCAGCCAAAATGAGGAGACAAAGAAACATGTCCCAAATGAAAGAATAGAACAAAACTCCAGGGAAAGAACTAAATAAAATGGAGATAAGCAATCTAACAGATACAGAGTTCAAAACACTGCTTATAAGGATGCTCAATGAATTTAGTGAGAACTTCAGTAAACTCAGTGAGGGCCTCAAGAGCATAAAAAAGGACCAATCAGAAATGAAGGAGGCACTAACTGAAATAAAGAATAATTCACAAAGATTTAATAGTAGAGTAGGTAAAGCCCAGAAGCAAACCATCAATTTGGAATATAAGGAAGCAAAAAAAAACACCCAATCAGAACAGCAAAAAAAAAAAGAACCCAAAAAAATGAGGATAGTGTAAGGAGCCTCTGGGACAACTTCAAGCATGTCAACATTCGCATCATGGGGGTGCCAGAAGGAGAAGAGAGAGAGCAAGAAATTGAAAACCTATTTGAAACAATAATGACAGAAAACTTCCCTAACTTGGTGAAGGACACAGACATACAAGTCCAGGAAGCACAGAAAGTCCCAAACAAAATGAACCCCAAAGAGGTCACATTAAGACACATTATAATCAAAATGCAAAGGGTTCAAGACAAAGAGAGAATCTTAAAAGCATCAAGAGAAGCAGTTAGTTACTTACAAAGGAGCTCCCATAAGACTGTCAGTGGATTTCTCAAAGGAAACTTTGCAGGCCAGAAAGAGTGGCAAGAGATATTCAAGGTGATGAAAACCAACGACCTACAACCAAGATTACTCTATCCTGCAAAGCTATCATTTAGAATCAATGGACATATCAAGAGGTTTCCAGACAAAAAGAGTTTATCAACACCAAACTAGTATTATATGAAATGTTGAAGGGTCTTCTTGAAGAAAAAGTAGATCAAAAATATGAACAAATAAAATGGCAATAAATATATATCTATTGACAACTGAATCTACAAACAAAATAAACAAGCAGAACAGAAACATTCTCATAGATACAGAGAACATTTTGTAGATTGCCAGATGGAAGAGGGGTCGGGAGAATGGGTAAAAAAAGTGAAGGGATTAAGAAGTACAAATTGGTTGTTAGACTGACAAACCTCAAAGGGAAGGGGGATGGGAGGGTGGGAAGAAATAAACCAAAGAACTTATATGCATAACCAATGGACACAGACAACAGTGTGGAAAAATGCAGGGGGGGGGGGGTGGGAGTGGGAGGACGGGGTCAATAGGGGAAAAAGGAGGAACATCTGTAATACATGCAACAATAAAGATAAGTTTAAAACAGAACAAAAAAGCCAGACTTGAAGAGGAGAGTGGAGGACTGGGAAAGGGAGCTGAGTGAGCCATCCTGTTACATCCCGAATGAAAAGAGTTGATAAAACATCCCTATCTGCATGATCCTTTTATAGGAGGGCTTCATCCTAAATCAACTCGTTGACCCTGTGGTGACTTGGTCACATAACCAGGGAGAAGCAAAGGTCTCCTGTACATCACAGCTGAGCACTTCAGGAGCTCCCCTAATCTGTTTTGACACCCAACTCCTCTGCAGACCTGGGTCCCCACACTGTGCCCCATGACTCTGCTGAACCTGTTGTTTCATTTGTGAGGGGAGGCGTGGTCAGCCTGAGTGTGACACTGGCATGTGGAAGAGGTGTCACAGGTGAGGCGGCATCCTTTCCCTTGCTCACCAGCCTCTCTGCCCTGCACATTCAACATCCATCCAGGCTGCTCTCCAGACAGAACCTGAGGTCCTCCCTCTACTTTCCACAATGCCTACCCTCTGTGCCAACAAAAGCTCCCTTGCAGAACAACACACACACTCAGGGACCGGCTGCCTTCTCTCCCCACTGCTCAGCACTAAACACATTTCTATCCCAGGTGGGAGCGTCAGCTTCATACAGAAGCTGAGGCCTATGCAATCTCTCCTCAGCCTTCTCTGACTCACCATATATGACTGCTCCAGCCTTTCCTGTGCAGAGAGGAAACATGCCAGCGTTTACTGAGGACCTGCTATGAATCCTGACTGTGCTGGTCTTTTTCAGATATAGCAACTTTAAGGAGAACCATGAGTTAATATTATTTCCAGTTTACAGAGCAAGAACATGAGGTTCAGGGGGGTTGAGCAACTTGCCCATGATCACACAGCAAGAACTTACAGGTGATGAGGGAAAAGGGTAAGATCTAACTCCGAATCCATCACATCTCTAAGCCTCTTTTCACCACATCATGCTGCTTCCTTCAAGTTCTCACTCCCCCGCCCTGTATTTAGCTGAGGAGTTCACAAGAATTCCGCCCTCTCAAACATACACATCACCCAGAGGTTTTATTAAAATGAAGATTCCAACACAGTGGGTTTTGGGAGAAGCTTGGGAATCTGCACTTCTGACCAGCTCCAGGGGATGCTGATACACCTGCTCACACACCACAGATTGAGTAGTAGGGGGCCAGGCAGTCAGACTGACTGAGAGTCATGTAAAGCCTGGTGACTTATCCCAGGCAAACGAGCCTCCTTGAGCTGCACTGATGGACTCACAATGACTAGATCAAGAGATGATGGTCCCTCTGTGTCCTGCACTGTGTCAGGATCCAGGGCCACTGACAACCAGTTTATCCAGAGGAAGACCCTAGGATGCCCAGAGCTCCATAATCTCACAGAAGGGAGACAGGAGAGAGGTGTTGATGGTTAGTCTGGAGAGGACATACGGCCCAGGGGAAGAGAAAGGCTGTCTCAGGAGTCTGGCACTTGGGAACTCTGTGAAGATTTGGGACGAGTGAGTGGAAGTTATATGTAAACAAAGGGCTCGTGACACTGAAGCTCTTTCTTTCTTTCTTTTTTTTTTTTCTATCCTCACCTGAGGACATTTTTTCATTTTTTATTCAGATAGAGTGGGGAGAGAGAGAGAGAGAGAGAGAGAGAGAGAGAGAGAGAGAGAGAGAGAGAAAGAAACGTCAATGTGAAAGGGATGGTTGCCACCCGCACGACCCAACCAGGGCCGGGGACAAACTGCAACCGAGGTACATGCCCTTAGCGGGAACCGAACCCGGGTCTCTCTGGACCGCAGGCCGACGCTCTAACCGCTGAGCCAAACCGGCCAGGGCCTGAAGCTCTTTCTAACTCCTGAAGTTCTCCAACCACGCGAAAGGGCCTTAGAAAGTTAAACTCGCTGCTTCTGGGGGTTGTCAAGCAAAAGCTGAATCAGCGCTTGTTACTGATAGTAAAGAGTGGATTTCTAAGAACTGATTGGTGCTTGAAACCAGTGATCTCCAAGGTCTCTTTCAACATTGATATTCTATAATTCTAATTAGACTCATGTCTCATCTTTGAAAAAAGAAACTGGCCCAGTCTGTTTTGTGTCCCTACACAGCAGACTGCTCCTGGAAGAATCCTGGCTCCTCTCCATTGCTGAGCCTCTCATACTGCCAAGTGGAAAAGTCAGGTTCATTACCACACAAATAAGTTACCTGGTCCAGCCGCCCTTTGGTGCCTGGGTGCAGAGCTGTGGGGAGAGGAGCACAGCCATCACTATACACTGAAAAGCTCTCTTGGTCTAATGAGCACCTCAGTCATTTCTGGTCTGGTTTCACAAATACTGTGGTTGTAGCAGGAACCAGAAGAATAGCCATGTGTTGTTTAAATTCAGAGCAGAAACATTTAGCCAACAAGCATAATTCTTTGTACTTGTAGGGTGACTTTCTTTCCTCGTCTCTATGGGAACCATTTCTTTAATTGTCACAACACTCCTAGAGGGGGAACAGAACATTTATATCCCTCTTTTTAAAGCTCTGATATTCAGTGGCATCCACAGAACTAATGGATGTAAGAGTAAGAAACGGAATCTAGTCTCTCTCTCTCTTTCTCTCAGCTGTGGGTGAGTATAGCATGATGGGAAAGAGCAATAGGTCAGCCGAACAATGAATGCACACCATGTGCCAGCCACTGTCCTGTGATCACTACACAACTCACAGAATTTTTCTGAATCCTCAAGACCACCCATGAGATAAGAGATTACTTCCCCATTTCGCAGTGAGAAAACTGAGGCTCCACTTGATTACACATTGTACAATGTGTAACATTGCACAATGTTATGCTGCTGCCTCTGCCTGGGAATCCAATCCTAGGCTGTAACCTTTCAGAACCCAAGGATGAAGTCACTGGTTACAGAGTCCCAGTGGCCCTGTGTCAGAGTCCCATGCCCACAACAGGAATGGCTTTGTTTTTACTCGAGTGTAAGTACTTCCAGAATGAGTCCTTGTTAACCTTTAGAACAGCTAACAAAAAAATATTAAAACTCTTCCAGAAAGCCAGGAATATAAAACCTGTCTACCAAACCAGGTTCAAATGGCTACCTGCTTCAGCATGTCATCCGAGTACTCCAGCCAGGCGCATGACGTGGTATAAGCAGGGTAGCCATGCATCAGCATTTGCTCTTCTGTGGAAACACAACACTTGTCAACACTTCACTCTTTCCAGAGACCTTCAGAATAAGACTGCTTGTAGCTAAGCTGCTGCCCCTCAGAGGATCTCCTCTGATCCTGCACCCAGCCCTCAATCCAGCCCCTCATCACATTCAGGATCATTCACATTCTGAGGATGACAAATGGAGGGTGGGCGTGCGGGAGGGGGCTTAGGGGGGTGGTCAGGATATCCTCTAGAACTGCCCACTAGTCAAGGGTATTCCTGCATAGCCACACCCAAGAGGCTTCTTCATTTAGACTCAACTGGCTATCGAGGATCTGGCTGTTGGGCACGAGGCATCTGGGAGGACAATGTGAACCCCCAAAGGACAGGGACACTCAAAAGTAAACAATGATAACAAAAATAAATGAAGGACATTTCTGCACAACCCACCTCTCTCTTTTTTACCAACTTGACCTTTCTTCAGTATTTCTGGAAAAAATAAAAGCATCATCACTCTCTTAGACAACAAATGTTGTGCACACAATGTTGTTTGCACATCAGCATGCACCAGAAAGCTTCCAGTCTCATCACTTGAACATGACTCACCATAGGCTTCCTCCTCAGTCAGGACGTCAGTGATGTACCTAAAATCGATGCAGGATAGCAGGGTCCTTGGATCCTGGCAGTGTGGCAGGAGGAGGGAGGGGGGAGGCCCGAGTCAATTCACAAGTGGATTGTCTTTCTAAGAATCTGCTTACGCTGATACATAGAGCTTATCCTTTCCAGGAAACAGCCTTTGGGATTTGTGTTATGTTGTTTGATTCTGTCATCTCTTGGTGTAGAATCCATCAGAGGGTCATCGTCGCTTCCTGATGAAGTCCTTAAAGCCCTCATGCTCTGGCCCACCCCTTGCTCCCTCTCCATCTCTCCTTTCCCTCGAAACCTAGGCTCCCCATTCCAGGCTTCTGGAAAGAGAATGGAGTGTGAGGCAGGCACTCAGCACACATTAAATGGATAGATGAGTGCATGTCACTCAATATGTCACTGTTCCACCCTTTAGGAATGATGTCCATCCTGAAGCAGCTTAGAGGGAGAGGAAAGAGGGCTGGTCTCAGTCAGGCCACTCAGGGTCAACCCTGTGTCCACCATTTATTAGTAGCATAACCTTGGGCAATTTCCTCTCCTGTCTAACAGGGACAGTCACTTCACTGGCAGGAACAGGGTTCACCATGAGAGTGCCCACTGTGCTGACTCCCTGGATCGTCATTGGCTGTACCCCCCCACCCCTCCTGTCCAGGCTCAGGGCTCTGGCCACACTGGGAGGCAGACATTCAGCGAGGCCTCTAGCTGAGATCTCCCTCCACCCCAATTTAGAGTCACTTGGGAAGCAACTGGTAGCTTCCCCACTCAGATTTTACTGTGAAATATTCAGAGTGATGAAAAGCAAGAACCTACAACCAAGATTACTCTATCCTGCAAAGCTGTCATTTAGAATCGATGGCCATATAAAAACTTTCCCAGACAAGAAAAAGTTAAAGGAGTTCATCACCACCAAACCGTTATTATACAAAATGATGAAGGGTCTTTTTGAAGAAAAAGATAAAATATATGAACAAACAAAATGGCAATGAATACATATCTATCGACGATGGAATCTACAAACAAAATGAACAGGTAGAACAGAAAACATTCTCATAGATACAGAGAACATTTTGTTGGTTGCCAGATGGGAGGGTGGTTGGGGGAATGGGTGGAAAAGGTGAAGGGATTAAGAAGCACAAATTCATTGCTAAGACTGACAAACCTCAAAGGGAAAGGGGTTGGGGGGTGGGAAGAAATAAACCAAAGGACTTATATGCATAACCAATGGACACAGACAATAGTGTGGGAAAAGGCGAGAGGGGGGCGGGAGTGGGGAGGAGGGGGTCAATGGGGGAAAAATGTGGAACATCTGTAATACAGTCTACATTCAACAATAAAGATAGAAAGAAAGAAAGAAAGAAAGAAAGAAAGAAAGAAAGAAAGAAAGAAAGAAAGAAAGTCTACATCCTTCACTTTCAGATGTGCCCCCTATAAGTACGTCAGTGAGATAGTGTGATATCCTCCTGTCTTCACTTTCTTCCAGAGAAGGGACGTCTGCTGGTCCAAGTCTTCAAGGCCATGGTATTTTCTTTTCTCCTTAATTGTGATGTCACGTAATAACAAGGGCCTTCATTTGTTGACAACTAGAATTTTAGCGACCAACAAGGCATCATCCTGAGGCAGCCGATGCTCAGAGAAGTTAAGTGACATGCCCAGCGTCACCCAGCCAGTAAGTGATAGAGCCTGGAGAAAAAACCAGGTCTGCCTGATGCTGAAGATGCTCATCCCTGCTATAAACAGGTGGAGGAGAAAGAAGAGCGTGCTGTGCCTCTTTCTAATTCAGTGTTTGGCTCCTGCCCTGCTGGCATCATTCACTGGAGGCACAACAGTCTCAACGGTCACTTTCTTTTGAAGTCCAAGTGACGGAGTACTATCTTAATAATAATACCTTGCTCTTCAGGGTTTGTAAAGCACTTTTCTCATTTGGTCTTTGAACCAATTCTATCAGGTTCCCAGAGAACTTATGATCATTCCCTTTTCATAGTTAGAAAATGAAAGCTCTGAGAATTTGCATTATATGTGAAAGCTTCACAGTGGGGGAGGGGAAACCTAACAGTGCTTCTCATTGGGCCACCCTGCCTGCAGGGGGCAGAGCTGTTACTTAAACATCAGATTTTACTGGTTTTATGCTTTATCATCACTACAGTGATCCATAGACAGTCCTGAGTATATTTACTAATTAACAATAGGCAAATAATCCATGAAATCCATTTCATTTACAGAAACAATTATAATGTGATATAATTTACTTAACCATGTCAACAAGTAACTTCCACAGAGGCTAAAGAAAAAAGAAAAGATTTGTAAAATATATGTGTCAAGCATGAAAATAAATGCAAACTCCACCTATCAAACACCTACCCACCTTCCTACCGGCCTCTAAGGCTGCCACCTAACCCCTCACCTTTGCTGCCCTCCCTTCTTTCTCAGCCCTTTCTAACTAATTCTACAATCTCCTGACTACTGCCAATATCTCTAAGGGAGAAAACAATAAAACAAATGCCTTTATTTCTTTTGGGGGCTTGCAATGTATTTGTCTTTCAGGCTGCTCATAGAGGAGGTGTTCATTCCTCTGTGCGTGCTGTGTTGTTCCACAGAAGTAGCCCTGAGTGATTTACCTTTCCCTCCTGCTTGGCCCATAGTCCCACACAGCATTGAGAACGGCTGCTGTAGCCAGATGCACAACACCTTTCTCAGGACCAATCTGGTTAGGAAGCAAAACACACCAGCACGTCTTAGAATTGAAAAAGATATTTAGGTCTTTTGACCATGGTCACATTTCAAGAATTAAAAGACAGCAATGGAAACTCACCTAAAATGCCAAGTTTTTTTTTTTAGTAGTGACTATTCATATAGAAAATAATATAATAATAAATAATAATACAAAAATAAACTATGTTTTGTGCACCCACAACTATAAACTACTTTTGCCCACCTTATATACATTATATATTATAATATATATTTACATATATTTATAACATATATTTTGTAAATGTTACAATTTTTATTTATATTACATAAAATATAATATAAATAAAACTTATTTTATTGAACAATTATTTTTTTTAATCCTCACCCACGGATATTTTTCCATTTATCTTCAGATAGAGTGGGAGGGAGGAAAGGAGGGGAAGAGAGAGAGACAGAGAAAGAGAGAGATATGGATGTGAGAGAGACACATCGGCTGGTTGCCTCCCATAAGACCCCGACCAGGGTTGGGCCGAACCACAACTGAGGCATGTTGCCCTTGACCGGAATTGAACTGGCGACTCATTGGTCTGGGAGCTGATGCTCTAACTGCTGAGCCAAACTGGCCAGGGCTATTTTACTGAACTATTTGAGAGAAAGCTGCTGATACTATGCCCCTTTAACCCTAAATATTTCAGTGTGTAGTTCCTAAAAATAAGGATGTTTCTTACATAAACGTAGTACAATGATCAAAGTCAGGGACTATAGCATTGATAGAATTCTACCACCAAAAAGACAGTTCATAATCAAATTTCACCAATTGTCCCAATAATGTACTTTATTTTATTCACATAGTTATTGCATTTAGTTGTCATGTCTCTTTAGTCACTTTTTATCTGGAACAATTTTTCTTATTATTTTAAGAATGTTATTGATTTTTTAAAAGTGTACAGGCAATTGTGTGCAGTGTCCCTCAATTTGGGTTGGTCTGGAGTTCCTTCATGATTAGATTCAGTTTGCACATTTTTGGCACAAATTCTACATAAATGATGTTGTCACTTCTTTTCCTATTAGGGCTTTCACTTTTAGTGCTTGGGTAAGTTAGTGTCCATTAGGCTGCTGCACTGTGGGGTTACCACATTCCCTTTCTAAGTAAGGAGCTTAATACTGGCTCCAACATTTTAGCACTCACTGAAATTCTTGCCTCAAACAATTATAGTTACGATGGTTGCAATATGGTGATTGTCTAATGTTATCATTCCTTTTATAGCTAGTTTGTATTCTACTGTAATGACAAGCTTTCCCTTGTTGTTTGTTTACTACCTGAAGGGACTCATGTTTGCCTATGTTATTCAATGAATTATAAGCCATTACAACCATATTTATTTATTTATTTATTTATAAAGGAAAGATTATTTTCCTTTTTAAAAAATTTAATCCTCTCCCAAGGACATGTTTATTGATTTTAGAGAGAGAGAAAGGGAGAGAAACATCTATTGGTTGCCTCCAGTACATGCCTCGACCTGGGATCAAACACACAATCTAGGTACGTGCCCTGACTGGGAATCAAACTCACAACCTTTTGGTGTACAGAACAATGTCCTTACCAACTGAGCCTTATCAGCCAGGGCACTATCATATTTATTTTGATGCTTAAATTATTCCAGATTTGGCCACTGGGAGCTTCTTCAAGAGGATGCCTTTAAAGGCAAGTTTAATTTTGCAGAAGTTACAATGAAGACTGAGGCAGTGCGAAAAGGCTTCTCTTGTGCCTTTCTCTATCCATGGACAGAAGGCTGAGCAGAGTGAGAAGAGCTGGTGTCAGGAGGCAAGGTCAAGGTCCTCGTTACTGGACTGATCTTAATGTGATAGAATCCCTTCTCTGAAAACCTCACTTTTTTAATGCCTTGAACTTAGGGTTTGAATAAGACCTATACAAATAAAAGGTGCTCTAGTCTCTATCCTCTTAACTTTGCTCTTCTCTTATGTTTTTGTCCTTAATCCAATACTACTCATGCTCTCTCTCCCCCAGAGAGGTTGCCCATTCAGCACTTAATCCTCTAGAGGGCCTAGACCACTTCTTCCCTTTCAGGGAGTGGAGATGAAGTCCAGAAGGGCAGAGATAGCTAGCCATCAGGATCCAAGTCTGTCCAGATTCAAGTCTTACAGAAAGAAACCAATTACTTCAAAACAGATTGTCTGAATGATTCAAGTCCTAATTTATCTGAAATAAAATGTTTTACCTTAAAATTGTAAACCTGTCTCTATTTCCACATTTTTTACAGTCAAAGGACATCTTAGACCTTAGTAACAGAAGCATTTTACAAAATAGACCCCTTACCCACCTGAGCTGCCCATCACTTGTGAGCTGCCTGTAGAAGCCTCTGAAGTCACCAACAATGTCCCCAAGGTCCTTGTTAAGCACATGGTGGGCCAGGGCATCCACAGCACAGACAACTGTAAAAGAGGATTTAATTTTTGTTTATGTTTTGGTATGAAGCCAACAAAATAAGACACGCGAGCACCACAAACAAACTCATGTTCGCATTTTATGAAAATAATTTTAAATACAAAAGGTATATGTTTTTAAAAATCACCCCACATATGGCTTCTGGGGTTATCACAGTAATATCACACAAGTAAAATAGCTGTTCATCTGTATACTGAGCTTAATTTTATTGGTTGCCATATGAAAAACAAATGATAGATCTGAACATTTAAATCATGTTTCCAAATTATTTTCTTGTTCACTTTGTAAAGTGTCCAGTCAGATTCAAAACCAAACCTCGTTAGTTCATTGTTCCAAAAAAATAAGAAGACTAACTAATAGAATTTTTTAAATGCCTTTTCATTATTGTCATGTATAGAAAATATCTTGAATTCACAGCATAACAAACTGTTAAAGATGAAATAAAATGAATTTGCAGTCAGCCTAATGCATGTAAAAGGTTATAGTACATGAAAACACTAGTCATAAACAGTCAGTTGCTTACTACTGACTGACTTATAATACATATTTCATAAGTAATTTGGAGGTTAAACTTTACTTGGGTCAGCATTCCCATCAATTATTTATTTTTGGTGTTTTATTGAATAGGATTTATTTTGTTATTTCAGATGAAAAAGAAGTAACAAATTGAAAGGAAATTTCTATCCTTTGCTCAGCCTATAAAACACTTTTTCTATATGTAAATGGCCAAAATAACGAATCATCAATGCATCCCCAAAACAATTAATTTATTAGAAAAGATTTTGATAAACTTGTTGTTTGGTGTTGCCATTGCTTCAATACTAAAATTCTCAGGTCATTTAATAGGATGGTTGTTGATGTGCCATTTTACTATAAATCATATCCTGGAAAAAAGACCTTTGAAAGTATTTGAAACATGCTCTTAGAACACGCATGACCTCTGGGTAAAATAGCTCTCAGACAATGATGTACTTGCTCTCATATGGAGCATTTAGTGCTGAACCAATCATCCTGTGTTCTCTAGGGCTTTGGCTAACAAGACAGGGGATCATTATACTTTAGATATTCATACCCTAGAGTTGAGAAGACAGAATCCTCCTGAGTCCTTGATGGCCAGTGCTCTAGGATTAAAGCCATCTGAAGAGTAAGTCAGCAACTCAGAGAGAGATATACCATTATCTACATCAAATCTTTGTCTCATTAATGAGATGGTTGCTAGAGATTATTGACTGAAGCACACTTCTGGTTTGGGTCACAAGGGCAAATGCAGTTAACTAAAGTTAAAGATGATCTCATCTTTTACAGCTCTAAGAGATGCATAAGCAACACTAGTATATTCCTCTTAGCAGTGATTTTCAACCTTTGGCATCCCCTGGCACACATAAACTAAATACTAAAATTCTGCAGCACACCAAAAAAGTAAATTTTTTGCCAATCTGACCCCCAAAAATATATAATTTTTATTCATTCACACCAGATAGCTATTGTTCTATTGGCTGTTGTCATTTTTTTATTTGCCAATCTAAGGGAAAAGAGATCAGTGTCCCTGACTAAATAGTCAGGTGTTGCATGTTTCAAGAATTTTTGTGGCAAATCAACATGCCTGCCACCAGCACACCCATTGAAAATCGCTGATCTATACATAATATGTGGATTTTCCTTGCTCAAAATGAGGCCACTGCAAGAAGTTAACTAAATTTGGTACATTTGATAGAAATTTGGGTTGTGTTCTGATTCCAATGTGGAGAAAAAGTCCACTTCAGGTTTGGATGTTTGATGCAATAGCTGAGAAATTCATCTGGAAAAAGAGTCCTGAAGACAGCTTCTTGCTGACTAGACGCAAGGGTTCTCTCCTGTTCTATATCCACCCAGGACTCAATTCTGGGACCCTCCACCACGGGAAAGACAAGTCAGTAAAACCTAGCAAAGACACCATGGGCGCGGCCGGTGTGGCTCAGTAGTTGAGCGTTGACCCATGCACCAAGAGGTCGCTGGTTCAATTCTCTGTCAGGGAACATGCCCAGGATGTGAACAAAATCCCCAGCTGAGGACATGCAGCCAATCGGTGTTTTCTCTCATCGATATTTCTCTCTCTCTCCCTCTCTCTTCCTCTCTCTCTAAAATCAAAAAAGAAAAGAAAAAAAAAAAAAGACATCATGGTATCTGAACCTGAGTGCTGGTGTGAATCCTTAAGGCTGTCTTTGGTCTCTAAAAATTCTTTCTTGTCCTGGCCAGTTTGGCTCAGCGGTTAGAGTGTTGGCCTGCGGTCCGGAGAGACCCGGTTTGGTTCCGGCTAAGGGCGTGTACCTTGATTGCAGTTTGTCCCCGGCCCTGGTTGGGTAGTGTGGGTGGCAGCCACTCGATGTGTCCCTTTCATGTCGATGTTTCTCCTCTCTCTCTTTCTCTTCCTCTCTCTCCCTCCCACTCTATCTGAACAAAAAATGGAAAAATGTCCTCAGGTGAGGATAAAAAATAAAATAAAATAAAAATTCTTTCTCTTTTTCTTTTCTTACATAAAAACAACTATATCCGTCTATTCTATACATTATGAAAAAAACAACCATAACTCTCTCTCTCTCTCACACACACACACACACACACACACACACACACACACACAAGCACTCTCTTCATGGTAATGAGGAAAGACTCTTTCTTTTTATCATAAAAGAATGATTAGATAAGTAATCTGATAAAGGCTGCAGGAGAACAGTGATGCACTAATGGGATATTCATTTTTAATGTGAATGCCCTGCAACACAGTCAGTGATTCTGCAGTGAGTCACCTGATTTATGTAGCAAGGTTAAAGTTAAAATGAATTCTATCATGCTGTGGTCTGAAAAAGGCAGATGCCAACAATATCACCATAAAAGAGCCACTTACTAAAGTCATAAAGAGATGGAAATTGACTTACCCCTGCCTGAGATGTCTATCAGGATAGCCAGGTGGGGTGGGAATGGAGGAGGGGAGGGATTGTGAAGGCCCTAAAGCACTGGTTCAGCAACCATGCCAGAAGAGCCTCACATCTGTGTTAGGAGCATACAGTGTGCACAAGGTCGCTGCACTGTGTGGGACTCAGCCGAGTTCAGAGTCTAGGCTGTTAACAGAGACTGGTTACAATGGCCTGTCCCATAACATATTTTGTAACCTTGCTGAGTTTTATGCAACCCTTGGGGGCCACCCTGTATGGTCTGCAGTATGGAGAAAGTAGCTTCATAAAGTGCTCAACTTAGACCAGAAACAAGTGAAGTCACAGGAGAAGGTAAAACACAGCTCACAAACCTATTATGGTCAATGGTCACTGCCTTAGAAAAAACATTAACAGTAAACCTTTGACTCAATGAAGAGGGGCACAGGGAATTATTGCTGAGTCTCCTCCTTCTGCCTGGCAAATTCCTGTTCACCCTTCAAGACTCATCTCAAAGCTTCACCTCTACTCTGAAGCCATCCCTGATCCTCCTGGACAATCAATTAACCCTCTTTCCATGTAAATTGTACCCACTTTTTTTTTTATTCCTCACCCAAGGATACTTTTCTATTTATCATTAGATAGAGTGGGAGGGAGGGAGAGAGAGAGTGACAGAGAGACAGAGAAAAACATCGATGTGATAGAGCCACATTGACTGCTTGCCTCCCGCATGACCCAACCAGGTCCGGGGACGAACCGCAACCGAAATACGTGCCCTTGACTGGAATTGAACCCGAGACTCATTGGTCCAAGAGCAACGCTCTAATCGCTAAGTCAAACCAGCCAGGGCCTTGTACCCACTTTAAAAAAAATAGTTCTTGCCCTGGCTAGTTTGGCTCAGCTGTTAGAGCATCAGCCCACGGACCAAAGAGTCATGGGTTTGATTCCGGTCAAGGTTATGTACCTCAGTTGCAGTTTGATCCCTGGCCCTGGTCGGGGTTCTGTGGGAGGCAACCAGTCAATGTGTTCCTTTCACATCGATGTTTTACTCTCCCTCTCTCTCCTGCTCTCTCTCTGTCCTTCCTCCTCCCACTCTACCTGAAGATAAATAGAAAAATATCCTCAGATGAGGATTTTAAAAAAATTGTTCTTCTCATACTGCACTATCATTCCTTTTATGTGTGTCACCCTCAGAAATTTGTACATTCCTTCTCCTTATACGTAGAACTCTGTCTCCTTTCTCTTTTTAAAAAATTCTTATCTCCGATGCCTGGCAAAGTTCTTTTTTTTTTTTTTTAATCCTCACCCGAGGACATTTTTCCATTTTTTTGTACAGATAGAGTGGGAGGGAGAGAGAGGAAGAGACAGAGAGAGAGAAACATCGACATGAAGGGACACATCGAGTGGCTGCCACTGCACGACCAACCAGGGCCGGGGACAAACTGCAACCGAAGTACGTGCCCTTAGCGGGAACCGAACCCGGGTCTCTCCGGACCGCAGGCTGATGCTCTAACCGCTGAGCAAAACCGGCCAGGGCCCTGGCAAAGTTCTTGATACACAGGAGTACTCAAGAGGAGTTTGTAGAAGGACTGGCAGATGTCACAACAGAATGCCAGCCCTGTGTAGAGCTGTAACAGTAGCCACCTTGGTGGTATCCACTTAAAGCTCAAGGTAGCTTCCCCTGGCTTTCTCTCTGTGTCTCTGTCTCTGTCTCTCTCTTTCTCTCCTTTTATCTGCTCAACAATATTAAAATCTTTCAGTGGTGCAAGACTTTGATTCTACAGCTAAAAGAGAGCTGACAGTGCAAATATCCATGGGAAAATCACCACCACAGTTAGAGAATCTGTGTCCTCCCTTTCCAGACCCTGACTCTTCAACTTATCATAATTTGGCTTCAGCCCCAATGATCCATTGAAATTGATCTTGCAAAAGTCATTTTTTTTTTATAGTAATTTTCGAATTTTGTACCCTGTGCATGAATTATGCATTGGGAAAAAAAAAAAATTCCAAATAACTTGTACTTAAATGTTCTGGGGAAAAAGCACTTTGAGTAGTCAGGGGGATCAGTGTGACTAGTTGAGCAGCTGTCTGTGCCTCATTTTCCTTATCTCTGAAAAAATGAGACTCAAGACCACCCCTTAGCTCTGGTCCAGGTCTGAGAGAAGAACAACTAACTCATGGCTCAGTGTCCATCCTACACATCTGCTCTTCCCAAACGAGAGTTCTGAAACTGGGCAGGGCCAAACGCCTTTTCTGCATGAAGAGCAATGAACTTGAAACCAACTCAGTATGAAGTGTTTTTGAAAAGTTAATAGACTCACTACACATATCACAATGAGCCTTGCTATGTGAGTGCACACCTGCCTGTCTCAGGTCCCGCAGTCACTTGCCTAGTTCAGGTCCTCAAAGCTCTGCAGAGAAATGGACTGAGATCCAAGGATTTGTACCTCAGTCGCAGTTCGATCCCTGGCCCTGGTCGGGGTTCTGTGGGAGGCAACCAGTCAATGTGTCCCTTTCACTTCGATGTTTTCCTCTCCCTCTCTCTCCTTCTCTCTCTCTCTCTCCTTCCTCCTCCCACAGTCTATCCACGACTACAAGGAGAGGCGCCAAATTCTGTCACTTTTTCATTTCTCCCAGTGAAATAAATAAACCATGAAAAATTGTTGTTACTCACTTTGAGCAGTAAATACAGAGAAAAATAAGGTCAGAATTGAAATCTAAGTGAAATTTAAGCATTCTTGAACCTTAAGAGAATGTTCAACTCACCAACTTCAGTGCCTTTTCCCAGAGTGAAAGTAATTCCATACCCCTTGAGTCCATCTTCCGCATCAGTCTCTAAGATGACATAGGCAGCCGAATAGTCAGGGTCCGTGTGCTGCAGGGAAAATGCCCCCCAACCACACAACACACACATGAGAAATCTGAAGCCTGACAATGACATCATTAAGAGTAGAAACTGCAATGGGAGATATGCAAGAAAAGCTCCAATCTGATAGAACCCTGGATCTACCCCAAAGAAAAGGTAGGCACTCTGAATGGACAAAGGGGATGGTTTCCTGAAGGAGTCAAATTATTTAACAAGTGCAATGTGTACATTTTTCATGCCAGCTTGCAGTTTGTCTCTTTTGATAGTCCGCTCAATTTTAAACTCAGTTTCACCTTTAGCTATTGGTCAGCTCTTTGAACAGAGTTACGTTCACATGCAGCTTCAAATTGCACAAGCCATGGTTTTAGAGGTTCTCACATAAAATTGAATTTCTCGTCATTGCAGCCATTTAGAGCAGGGCTGAAAAGACAACGGCATAAATTTAGAAGCGATAACTGAGAAAAAACAAGGAATTAAAACTTCAATAAAAAAATCAAACAAATAAAACTTCAATTGATTTTGTGTGTGTGTGTGTGGTGGTACGGGGGTACAGACTGACAATCCCCAGAAGAGGGGATGGTGGGGGAGAGATAAACCACAGAACTTATATGCATGTATGCATGAACAGTGTACATGGACAACAAACTGGGGACAGGGTGGGGAGGGAGGGGAAGGGGGGAATCAGTGGGGGGAAAAGGAGAAACATCTGTAACAAAAATTAATTAATAAAAAATAAAAAAAAAAACAACTTCAAAACAAACTAACCCATTTTGTGTTTTGTTCTTTTTTTTTTTAAACTTTCTATTAAAAAGTATTTTGATGCCCTGGCCAGTTTGGCTCAGCAGTTAGAGCGTCGGCCTGCAGTCCAGAGAGACCTGGGTCTGGTTCCCGCTGGGGGCATATACCTCGGTTGCAGTTTGTCCCCGGCCCTGGTTGGGTTGTGCGGGTGGCGGCCACTTGGTGTGTCCCTTTCACGTCAATGTTTCTCTCTCTCTTTCTCTCTCTCTCTTTCTCCCCCTCCCTCTCTGTCCCTCCCGCTCTATCTGAACAAGAAATGGAAAAATGTCCTTGGGTGAGGATAAAAAAAAAGTATTTTGATAATAAGCATTTACTAACTGATGATTATGAAACTTGACACTACTTGTTGATACGGGGAATGCAGAAGTAAAAAAACTACAAATCTATTTCTAGAAATTTCTCATACAGTGGAAAGAAAAAGCTCACATACAAGAACCAGGTGAGAATATCCGCTAAGATAGTACAAGGTCATGTGCTAATGTGTGTTCGGGTAGAAGTACCACAGAAGCTGAAGGAAGAAGAGCAAAGATGAAGCAGGGGACCGGGACATTTGGATGAGCAGAGGGGCAGGTGAAGGCATGTAGGGAAGAGAGACATATGAAACTCAGAGGTCTTGTGAAATACAGAAGTACAACGTACCCTGAGGTCACTGGTTTGCAAGTGAAGGAAGACAATATTGGATGGGTGCTGTGGGGGGCAGACAATGGAGACCCCAAAAGGCCAGGCAGAAAATCTAAATGTATTAATAAGGAGTGTTGGGCCCGGCCGGTGTGGCTCAGTGGTTGAGCATCAACCCATGCACCAAGAGGTCGCTGGTTTGATTCCCAGTCAGGGCCCAGGCCCAGGTAGTGGGCCCAATCTCCAGTTGGGGGCATGTAGTTGGCAGCCAATCGATGTTCTCTCTCATCGATGTTTCTGTCTCTCTCTCCCTTCCTCTCTCTCTAAAATCAATAAAGAAAAATAATTTTTTAAAAAAAGGAATGTAGGGTGCAATTATTGAAGCATTTTACATTGGGATATGGCAATTTATTACTATTGTTGTTATGTACTATTTATTATTCTGGTACTCGATCCTAACAGCTTTACATGGTTTACAACAATACTATAAAGTAGGTGCTATCATCCCTATCTCACCGATAAGGAAACTGAGTTTAAAGAGGCAAAATGTAAACTCCTGTGTTCAGGGAGGGAGAGGAGGTGCATGTAATGGACAGGAGGCCTGTGGCTGGCATGCAGAGGCCCAGTGGAGGACTTTAGGTGTGATGTGTTCCTGAACACCAGCTGCATATTAGAGACTATGCAGGTTGCTGAGGGGGCACAGGCATGTCTGCCCTTGAGGAAGTTCCAGTTTAGAATCCATGGTAACAGAGACTCTAATACTATGAGGCAGAACATGATGCGAATGAAGAAAGCCAGGCAGGGAGCCCTCTAAACTGAATGCACTGGAAGCTAGAAGAGCTTTGTGATGAAAGCAGAACCTGAGCTGGGTGCTGGAGGATGGGGAGCTTTGCAGCAGTGGAAGGGAGGATGAAGGATCTGGAGGGAATAATATCTCAGGTCAGGTGAAAGCAGTGAAGGGACAGAAAAGGGAAAGACGAGTATATTTAAGGGTTGGTAACCACCCTGGTTTGGCCTACCCATTGGGTTCCTGGAGGGAAGTTGGGACATAAGGCTGAGAGAGATGCCAGGAACTAAACTCATGGAAATTTCTGGCCTATGTGGAGAGGAAGTAATGGAAAAAGGAAACCCTTCACTGAAGCCTTCTGTGAGGGTCAAAGGAGGAGATGAGCTGAGAGTGACTTGAAGCTTCTGAGTCCTTGTGACTGGATGTGGAAAAAATGGGACTCTAGCACACTGCTGATGGGAATGCAGACTAGTGTGGCCACTATAGAAAACAATATATTGTTTCCTCAAAATATAAAAAATGGAATTGCCAATTGACCCAGTGATCCCACTTCTAGGAATACATCCTAAGAAGCCTGAAACACCAATTAGAAAGAATATATGTACCTCTATGTTCATAGCAGCACTATTTACAATAGCTAAGATCTGGAAACAGCCCAAGTGTCCATCAGTAGATGAGTGGATAAAAAAGCTGTGGTACATTTACACAATGGAATACTGTAAGAAAGAAAGATCTCATATCCTTTGAGACAACATGGCAGGACCTGAAGAGTATTATGCTAAGTGAAATAAGCCAGTCAGAGAAAGACAAGCACCACATGATCTCACTTATTTGTGGAATATAATGAAGAAAACAAGCTGATGAACAAAATAGATCCAGAGACATGGTAGTAGGGAACCGGCTGACAAAACTCAGAGGGAGGGGGGGGCTGATGGGAAGAGATAAACTAAAGCACTTAAATAGATATACGCATAACCAGTGGACAAAGACAACAGTGCGGTGAAGGGGGAGTGTCAATGTGGTGGGGGTGGAAGGAGGGACATCTGAAATATTTTTGACAATAAAGGAAAAAAATCTTCACCCGGCCAACGTGTCTCACTGGTTGAGCATCAACCCATGCACCAAGAGGTTGTTGGCTCCATTCCTAGGCAGGGCACATGCCCAGGTTGTAGGCCCAATCTCCAGTGGGGGGCATACAGGAGGCGGCCAATCAATGTTCTCTCTCATCGATGTTTCTATCTATCTCTCCCTCTCAAAGCAATAAAGAAAAAATATTTTTTAATAAAAGAAAAGAAACTTCAATGAAATATAAATAACAAACAGTACTCTCCGACTGCAATGCCGGAAATTGGTAATAATAAAGTTTTTCCACTTTAAGAAAACAACAAAACAACATAAAAAAATAAAAGTAAAGACTAACGATGAAATTTCTGGAGATGGAGGTGATGAGAATGGGGGCCAGGGGGTCAAGAAGGGTGGAAGTAAGAAAACAGGAAAATAGATTAGTTTGTGAAGACATGACTTACAGGAAAAAGGAGGAATAGGAGAGGGTAGGTTTGGAGATTGATGGGTGGAGATGGGGCCAAGGGTGCATTTGTCTTCAGTGTTCTTGGGGATGCAATGGAAAATGTCTTCTAACTGCTTCAGGTGCTGGACTGAGGGCCGGAGGAAGGAGACAGGGGTCTGAAACAGCGACTCTAGGAAGCTCAGCAGACAATGGGGAAAGGCGGAAAACTATGGCTGGGAAGTGGTGGGGTTAGCTGGAGCTAGGCTGTGAACCCATAGCACCGGGACTCTCTTGAACCTTAGTGAGGGCCTGGATAAGCAAGCAACTTGTAAATACACTGCAGGTCTGAGAGCTCTGTGTTTCTTAAAAGGCTGATAAGAAATCATAACTGGAACCCTTTACTTGAATAGACCTGGGGAACAGTTTCAGGGTTCCTTCATGAAAATATTCTACTTGTGATTAGGAAGCCTCGTTCTGCTGCTAAGGGCTGAATGTAGCTGAATTGCTGAGGCCAACATGCCATGAGGACTCAAGAAGCAATCATGAGAGTTATGGCAGCACCACCAAGAACTGCAAAGTAGCACATTCCCTTAAGAAGGCACTTTGATAATCAGCACACAACATATACCGTATCTCCAGGTGATAAATATTTAAGGATTTATTCAAACAACAGATATTGGCGAGGGTGTGGAGAAAAGGGGACTCTAGTACCCTGCTGATGGGAATGCAGACTGGTGCAGCCACTATGGAAAACAATATGGTGTTACCTCAAAAAATTAAAAATTGAACTTCCATTTGACCCAGTGATCCCACTTCTAGGAATATACCCTAAGAAGCCTGAAACACCAATCAGAAAGAATATATGTACCCCCATGTTTGTAGCAACACTGTTTACAATAGCTAAGATCTGGAAACAGCCCAAGTGTCCATCAGTAGACGAATGGATATAAAAGCAGTGGTACATATACACAATGGAGTACTACACAGCTGTAAGAAAGAAAGATCTCTTATCCTTTGAGACTACATGGAGGGACCTGGAAAGTATCATCCTAAATGAAACAAGCCAAACAGAGAAAGACAAGTATCATATGATCTCACTTATTTGTGGAATATAATGAACATAACAGTCTGAGGAATGAGGTAGTCCCAGAGACGTGGAAGTGGGGTACAGACTGACAATCCCCAGAAGAGGGGGTAAATCACAGAACTTATATGCATGTATGCATGAACAGTGGACATGGACAACAAAGCTGGGGACAGGGCAGGGAGGGAGGGGGAGAGGGGAATCATTGGGGGGGAAAGGAGAAACATCTGTAACAAAAATTAATTAATAAAAAAATTAATTAATTAAAAAATATAATAAAATAAAAAAAAATATTTAAGGATTTATGAGCTTGCAAAACAGGTGCCAGATAATATTTCCTGACCCCGAGGTCATAGACCACTCAGAACCAGAGACAAATTCCATTCTACAGTAAACCAGGCCACTTTAACACTTCACAAATCAAAGTGGAAAGTCTAGGCCAGAGCCTCTTCTGCTTCAGTTTCCTCATATATAAATAGTAATTATAGCCAACACTTAATGATGGCCTTCTCTGTGTCAGGCTCTTCACAGCCATCTCATTTACATGTATGAAGTGGATATCATTATACAGATGAGAAAACCTAGGCTGGGGGAGACTGGGTTTCCCCTCAGGTGCCACACTTCAGAGGGGCAAAGGCCAGTTGCACTAGATCAGGTGCTTGGATTTTACAAGCCAGTAAAATTTCAAACACTTATTTGGAGATCCACAAAGGATGGCCAATTGGATATTTTTTAAGTCATTCGCCATAATAACATATAAGAAAAAACATGTGCCCTGGCAGGTTTGGCTCAGCTGTAGAGCATCAGCCTGCGGTCCAGAGAGACCCGGGTTCGGTTCCGGCTAAGGGCATGTACCTCGGTTGCAGTTTGTCCCCGGCCCTGGTTGGGTCGTGTGGGTGGCAGCCACTCGATGTGTCCCTTTTATGTCAATGTTTCTCTCTCTCTTTCTCTTCCTCTCTCTCCCTCCCCACTCTATCTGAACAAAAAATGGAAAAATGTCCTCGGGTGAGGATTAAAAAAAAAAAGAAAGAAAGAAAAAACATGTAAGAATTTTAAAAAGCCAGAAGAACTTTACCTCAGAATAAAGGACATTCTTTTAAATGTAATAACTTTGTTTAGATAGCATTTTATAAAATATTTCAGGTACACAAAGAGCACAAGTAAGGTAATAAACAACAGTGTGCCCTCTACCCACTCATGAAAAGTACAATATTACAATATGAAGAAAGAGGCCTCAGGTTCACAGGTGTTTACACATTTATACCCATGCAACTTTGTTTTTCTAGTGTAGCCAACTCATCGGTGGATCTGGTGGGGATAGTGAGGATCCAGTGGGTGACAGGCCTCAAGAAGACCCTGCACAGGGAACCATTGCACTAGACAGTGGTGGTGATGGTGAGGTCTCTCTAACACTCTCAGTAAGCAAAACACCCTTCAGTGGGAGTCAAAGTTGATGCCTTTACTGCCATATCTAAAGATTGATATTTGCTTAACTCTTTACAGTGACAAGTCCTTTCTAGCCACATATTCAGGTCATTTCCTGAAAGCCCTCTCTCACACGACTCAGAGTTACTAGGAGCTTGTTTGTCTGGCTTCCCAGCCAGATTGTGACTTCATTTCATAGATGGGCCCAAGAGGCCCAGAGAGATTAGGGTCTCATCCAGGTCACACAGCAAGCTGTATCATAGGCAGGATCACCACCAAAGCGCCCGAACTGGTTTCTCAGTGCAGAAGCCAGCGTTGTAGTCTAAGGTTTTGTTGTTTATCATGCATTCTACGACTCCCAGCAAAATGCGAATCAGAAAAGTAAAAACAGGAAATATTCAACGCCAGCAAAAATAAAATAAAAATAAGAAAAGAAAAGAAAAAACAATAACAACAAAAAAAACAGGAGAGTGGAAATTTTCTGTTTACTTTTATTCTCTTTCCCGGCCTCTTCTTTACAAACTCTTGCAAAGCTGGGAGTCTCCCGGGACTTAACGGGGCTCCCCACGCCTGTGTGGGCCCCTGCATCAGCAAGGCGGAGGGCACCCGGAGGTCGGTCAGCGCTTGTCCTGGCGTCCGAACCGTGGCCCCCAAGCGACGTAGGGAAGCGCAGGTCACGGACCGAGAGCCGGGAGATCTTGCCCTGCACCATGTGGCCGCGCGCCCAGGAACCGCGGCGTCACTAACTTCCTCGCGCTCTGCGGGAGAGTGGCGGGAGGGGGCAGAGCCCGGCACGGCGGGCGCTGATTGGCTGCAAGGTCCGGGGGTGGGGCAGTGCACGTGAATTTGGCGGGATGGCTGCTGCAGGTCCTCCTCCGGGCTCCCAGGGACCCACTGACATTCCTGCCGCTTTTTCACCGTATGCTGGTCGGCGCCTCCCTGCACGGATCGCTCAGGGTCGCGGCAGACCCTGAAGCCAGAAGGAGGCGCCCACAGACCCCGGCTTTATTTGGCCTGCAAACTGGCTAAGTGACTTCGGTCACTTAGCTCCCCGGAGAAAGAAGCCGGGTCGGACCAGAGTGCGACCGCCTAGAAGCAAATTCTGGCCACAGGCTCCGCTACTGAGTCCGCAGGTCGTGGTCGGCGCAGCCAGGGGAAACGTGGGCTAGAGAATTCTAAATGTCTTTAAGTGACTTAAACTCAGTTTGCCACCTGATAAATTAAGAGGCGGATCATCATTTATTACCCCTGCTAATTCAAAGTGATTTAAATGCATTACCTTTTATCTGTCCAACCCTGTAAGGTAGGTAGGTCATTTTCATTTTATTGGTTAAGAAATGGGGATTCAGAAAGATTAAGTGACTTAAATGGCTTGCCTGAGGCTACACAACTAGGTGGCAAAGTATCCTGGCGGCAGACCCTGGGTTCTTTCCTCTGGATTGCAGGGTCTCTTATTTTCAGAGCTATAGGATCCCCCTGAGAACATGGTGAAAGGTATGGACACCTCCCCCGCCCCCACATCCCACAAGTTCGCACACACGTTAAATTTTTATACCACCTTAGAGGGTTCACTGATTCTTTGCCTTGTGCATGACCTTTCCGTTCCTGCCTCTGGGGAATGCTTTGAAGATTAAAGGAAATCAGAAACAAAGCTACAGAAGGTATATATTTCGATTAAGGTGTTCCTGTGGGTATGGCAAGGATATTTTTAGGGACACTCGGGTCACCGCTGCTGCTGTAGGATTCGTTACAACCCTATTGGCTGAATTCCTTTGGTTTAGGCTGAGATGGTCTCAACTCAAATGCCTGCAGAGACTGGGTCAGGCACTAGGAAACAACAGAGTGAGGCAATAGGCAACTGTGACTGTGTCTAAGGGCCTTTGCTCTTCAAAAGGGGTAGCCAGGCAGCTCCAGTTGACTGTGGTCCTGTGGGAATTAGAGCCCTGGTTTGCTGTATCTTTTACTTTTCTAAGAGAAGTCTGAAATTCAAATGTTAATGAGAAATAGCCTTTCTTTTTCACTGTCCTGTACTATCCACTTTGTCATATAGATATAGAGATATTTTACATAAGGACCAACATTCATTAACAGTTAATTGTAAATTTAAGTCATTTGTTTGTTCATCATTCTTTTTTGCTTTCCTGATCTTTTTTTTTTTTTTTCCCTGTGTAGGCTCTATTCATATTTTTCAGAATGAGTCTCAGGCTTGGTTGATATATTCTGAGTACTTGTTGTTTTGAAGATGCCTTTGTTTTTCTTTCAGATTTCAATGCTGGCTTTATTATACAGAATTCTTAGTTCAAATTAATACTTTAAAAAAGAAGTGTTAAATCTCATTCTTTAAAGAATAAGTTGGAGCACCCCCCACCCAGTGGGAAATGTTTAGATTTTCTCTTACTTTTATTGTGTTAAAGTATTACTAATATATATTTAGGATTAATTTTAAAATTCTACATTTGATGGATCCTTTCCCAGAAACAAAATTTCTCTGAAAAGTGTTCTCAGCTATTTCTTTCATTTGTTCTTCCACTTCATTTGTTTTCTTCTTTCTGGAATTTACATTGGATTAATATTGAACTTCTGAATCTATCATCTATGCTTTATCTTCTTAACAAATGTTTGACTCTGCTTTTTTCTGCTGAGTTTCTTTTTCATTTATATTCCAGTTCACTGACTTGATCTCCAACTGTGTTCATTTTTTTATTTAACCAAATTGTTTAATTTTTCTTTGGTGCTATTTTAAGTTTCCAAGTTTTCTTTTCATAGTACCATCACCCCATTTGAATACATGAATACCACATTGTCTCAAAAATAAAAAAAGATTACCCTGGCCACTTTGGCTCAGCAGTTAGAGCGTTGGCCCGTGGAACAGAGAGGTCTGAGTTCAGTTCCCACTAAGGGCACGTACCTCAGTTGCGGTTTGTCCCTGGCCCTGGTTGGGGTTGTGTGGGTGGCAACCACTCAATGTGTCTCTCTCACATCAACGTTTCTCTCTTTTTCTTCCTCCCTTTCTCCCTCCTGCTATATCACAAGATAAATGCAAAAGTGTCCTCAGGTGAGGATAAAAAAATAAAAAATAAATAAAAGAAGATTATAATTGGTTCCTCTATTAAGCTTGGTTCCTCAAATGTTAGTTCTTGGTTGTTGAGTTCTTTGCCTTCACATTAGTGTTCATGTCTGTTCAAACTGAGACAGGCCAGTAAGCCAGGACAAGTGGAATAGGGAAACTGAGACTGATAGCTGAACAAACTGACAGAGCAATTTACAGCAAACACAGAAGATCACTTCCCTGGAAATAATATCTAAGCCTCAGTTGTATTTCAGCTCCAGACCCAGAAAGGCAGAAAAACCAGATGGGCAACACCAGGACCAGCTGCAATGACTAATGACCCCCTGCCCTCTCACTGACCAATCAGTGAAGACCATGACCCTGAAGGAGCACACCTAGAAAACTGATGAATATTCTGTTGAAACTCAAAAAGAAAAAATAATTTAAAAACAGAACAGTTTAAGTGAGCTGTGGGACAACATAAACCTAAAAACATCTGCATCATGGGAGTACCAGAAGAAGAAAAAAGTGAGCAATGGATAGAGAATCTGTTTGAAGAAATAATGGCAGAAAACTTCCCTAACTTGGTGAAGGAAAACGTCACACAAGTTCAGGAAGCACAGAAAGTCCCAAGCAAGAACCCAAAGAAGCCCACACCAAGATACATCATAATGAAAATGACAAAAATTAAAGACAAAGAGAGAATCTTAAAGACAAGAAGAGAAAAGCAATGTTACCTACAAAAGCACTCCCATAAGACTGTCAGCTGATTACTCAACAGAAATGCTACAGGCCAGAAAGAAATAGCATGAAGTATTCAAAGTAACGAAGAGCAAGGATCTGAAATGAAGACTACTCTATCCAGCAAGGCTATCATTCAAAATAGAAGGTGAGCCCTGGCCGGTTTGGCTCAGCGGTTGGAGCATCGGCCCACAGACCAGAGAGGCCCGGGTTCGCTAAGGGCACGTACCTTGGTTTCAGTTTGTCCCCAGCCCTGATTGGGGTTGTGTGGGTGGCAACCACTCGATGTGTTTCTCACATGTTAATGTTTCTCTTTCTCTCTCTCTCCCTCCCTCCTCTCTCTCTCTCTCAAGATAAATGCTATATATATATATATATATATATATATATATATATATGTCCTCAGGTGAGGATTGAAAAAAAAAAAAAAAATAGAAGGTGAAATAAAGAGGTTCTCAGAAAAATAAAAAAAAGGCTAAATGAATTTATTACCACCAAACCAGCATTGTAAGAAATGTTAAAGGGACTGCTGTAATAAGAAGAAAGAACGCGAGAAAAACATAGGCATAAAGAGTAAAAACAGCAATAAATAAGTACCTATCAATAACCTTAAGTGTAAATGGATTGAATGTTCCACTCAAAAGACATAGAGTAGCTGAATGGATAAGAAAACATGGCCCATATATATGCTGTCTACAAGAGACCCAACTCAGAACAACAAGACTCACACAGAATGGAAGTCAAGAAATGAAAAAAATTTTTTCATGCAAATGGAAACAAACAAACAAACAAAAAAAGCTGTGGTAGCAATAATCATATCTGATGAAATAGACTTCAAAATGAAGGCCCTAACATGAGACAAAGAAGGTCACTACATAATACTAAAAGGATTGACCCAACAAGAGGATATAACCCTGGCAAGCATATGCACCCAATATAGGAGTACAAAAATATATTTAAATACTTCTGGAGGGTCCAGCCAGTGTGGCTCAGTGGTTGAGCATTGACCCATACACTAAAAGGTCACCAGTTTGATTCCCAGTCAGGGCACATGTCCAGATTGTGGGCCTGATCCCCGGTGTGGAACATGCAGGAGGTGGCCAATCAATGTTCTCTCTCATCAATGTTTCTATCTCTCTCTCCTGCTCCCTTCCTCTCTCTCTCTGAAGTCAATAAAGAAAAAAAATTTTAAAGGAAAAAACTTCTGGAGGGCTTTAAGGGAGAGATCAACAGCAATACAATCATCATAGGGGACTTTAACATGCTACTGACATCACTTCATAGATCTTCTAGACAAAAAATCAACAAGAAAATAGCAACCCTAAACAACACACTATATCAGATAGATTTAATTGACACTTACAGAACATTTGACTCCTAGCTACAGAATATATATTCTTCTCAAGTGTACATGGGACATTCTCAAAGACAGAACCCATGTAGTGACCCAAATTAAGTTTCTACAAATTCAGGAAGATTGCAATTATGTCAAGCATCTCCTCAGATCACAATGGCATGAAACTAGAAATTAACTACAATAAAAACACTCAAAAACATTCAAACAAATGGAGGCTAAATAGCATGTTATTAAAGAATAATGGGATACCAATGAAATCAAGGAAGAAATAAAAACTTCCTGTAAACAAATGAAAATGAACACACAACAACCTCAAATCTATGGGACACGGCAAAAGCAGTCCTGACAGGGAAGTTCAAGCACTACAGGCCTATCTCAAGAAACAAAAAAATTTCTAATAATCCTATAAATTGAAGAATTATAAAGAGAACAAGAAAAGCCCAAAGTAGAAGGAAATAATTATCAAAGTGGAAATAATGACATATAGTCTAAAAAAAAATACAAAAGGTCAATGAAAACAAAAGCTGATTCCTTGAAAAGATAAACAAGACTGATGAACCTTTAG